CATCAGTTATCTTTTCTGCGCTTCCAGTGAGAGCAGAGAGTCGTTTCTCAACCATTTCAAGTCTGTCTTCTGTACACTTAATTATACTTTTAGAGTTTAAACAGTTAGGCTCCGCCTCTGACTGGCACATGTTGAAATACGTTGCTTCATCGCAATATAGCTTGAATTCTGGTCGCTTCCTGTTGCCTCTTAACATTTCTTCAAATCTTTCCGCAATAAAGCGGGCTATTTCAAGTTCCTCAGCACTTTCCTCTACGTATGTTTTAGCGTCGATGTAGGACTCGTTAAGAACCGAAACTAACATATTCATAAGGACAATTGTCATTATTATCATGTATATGAAAACGAATAAGGGTCCAAGAATTGGGTGTTCACGTCTTAAATCATCAAGTGGGACAGCTTTTCCCAGAAGGAATTCAAACTGAGAAATCACTGCTTGCAAATAACTAGAGTATTCAAGGACAGTGTGACCAAAAAATTGTTTTCCTGATATAACAAAGCCATTAAACATTATCAGGAAGATAAAAACGTACGACAGCTGGTAGCCTACCGACTGACGGAAAGACGAAAACAAGTATATTACATAAGGATTAAATCGAATCAGATTTAAAAGTTTAACTGTTACCATAAAAATAGCACAGGCGTTTGCAACATTTTCCCAACTAGCCCAAGTCAAAGAGGAGTGAAAATGTACGATATCATATGGATTGTTTTGGATAGATTTGATGCTTTTTAGAAGAGTTTTAGATCGGATCACGTAAAACACTACTGCCAATACTGAGAATATGATCATGAAAAAATCGACCATGTTCCATACTGACTTGAAAAAGCTAAGGCGGCTACGGTAGAAGTTGTAAAACATCATGATGAGGTAATAACACACCATGGCCATGAAAAGGAACTGGCAGATTAGGTAGAACATTTGAGCTTCTGATTCAGTGCTTTGTACGTCGAGCGTTTCAACCGTTCTTGCTGTGTAAGCAGCACCAGTGGAAAGAACCTCGTAAAAGTACGTGGCTATGCTGAGAAGATTTGTGTTAACGTTGAAAACTGCGAACTCTAATATCACTGCTCGCGTTTGGCGATCAACCCATCCATGACCGAATGTTTCACCAAGGACACTTCGGCCAGTTTCTACGTCGTATCCCAAGACAGCGACATAGCCACCTCCTTCATATGTATTGTAGGTCCCCGTTATTCGACCATTGTCTAGTTCTTCACTTGTGCGATAACGCCAAGGTTTGGGACACAGTTGAAGAGCCTTTGGCCATGAAGTATTGTAAGGGAGTTGTTTCCATCCAGGAAGACTCAGTGATGTGGTGTCCTCACCCTCACTTGAGTAATCGTAGAGGCAGTCTGGGAAAAGCTCAGCTAGTGATTTGCAAGAACCTACAATTAAAATATATAACAAACACTTTTTCTATCATTTTTTAGCAAGCAGCATTACATTAGACTGGCCTAAGACAACGGAATAGATCGTTTTCACATGAAGTCACGGGGGCCATATTGGTGTCCCAAACTAATCCTGTAGGAGTCGAACTCCTTTCTTACGAAAACGCTTTATTTTGTTCCAATAAATTTACATAAATACTGGCCACGCGAGTGAAGACGATCTGTTTCTCCGCCTTTCTGTAACTTTGACTTTATGGAATGTACGTAATACCTAGTTAACGTATCAGTCATTTCAAGGATAACCGAATAACAAAAAGTGGTTTGTAAATCACTTTAATAAAAAAAGTCGCACTTATTCATTCCGATTGTACATTTTTGTTGTTTGCCCCCTTTTATAACCAGTTTGCTAAACTAACTATTATAAGGCATAAGAATCAGAATTTTTTTTGTCGCTTTAAAATTAGGTTTTGCAAATTCTAAATTATAAAGCTTACTCTTTTTCACTCTGAGTTGCCTCATCCATGGCATACCGACCAATAAGGACACCTTGTTTTCAACATACACATCTTTCTCTTGACGTCCATTGTACCACGGATGGCTGTAAATATTTGGGAGGAACTCTTGTCTCATCCAACCCCATAGTTTGTATCTTCCAGTTACCTGCAATGATAATAGCGCCGCTGTTTATACATTCAACCATTGAAAGGACACCTCTATATGACGGACATCTCTTCAAAACGGACGCATAACGCTAGTCCAAAAGGTATGGAATTGACGGTAGTCCAATGAAATGCGATGGTTCTGAAACAAGTTAGTCGAAAATACGACAGAGGGAACGCCAACACTAGGTTCACGCGGCGACAAAAGTCAGGAAACCTCCTGTAAACGCGACCACCGGAGAAACATGTAACACCTCTCTACAGTGTTACTACATCACTGCCAATCAAAGAACATGCATGGCAAGGTGAAATTTTATACCGGAACTAAAACTACAGGGCGCGGAGACGCAAACACAAACTAAAAAATCAATGTATTACTACATTTCAAAAATCTCATCAATAATTCATGAAGAAAATACCACATCAGTGATAATGAGTGTCTGTTATTCTGAAAAAACACGGGTAATTTTTCAGCGTTTAAAAGTAAATTGGGACTGTCTAATAAGTTTTAAGTTTTACAGAGTCGAAGACACAACGTTTCGTCTTGTGTTTTAAACTTGATAGAATACTCTTGTCTTTTTGGTCAATCTATTCATTAAATCAGGTTTTATGTCTAAAACCCAATGTTGAAAATTGAAAGTTACTACTAAAAGTATTCCAGCTTCTCCCTAGTACATGACTTCACTAATAAGGCCTTACCGTTTCAAACTTTGTAAAAGGATTCATCAGAGTGGTAGTCATCATAAAGCGATTACTATTCTTGTTTCCATAACACACTATCGCCAAGAAAAACACAAATATCAAATGAACAACAATTTCTTTCATCGTGCTTGCCAACTTAAGTTCTTTTTTAGCTCGTTCACGCATGACTCCTAACCTTGCGCGCTTAAAACGCTGTTTAGGATCATCAGAAAATAGATATATGTCATTCAAGTTAACATCGTCTTCATTCTCTGTTTCAGAATCTTCACTGTCGTCCTTGGTTCTCGTTACAAGCAATGACACTATCACCACGGCCAACATGACCTTTGTCGGCTGTACAACGAAGATGTCCTGACCATTTGAAATCAAAATAGAGGAGAGCCATTGCTCTGCAACTTCTTTGCCCCACATTAAGCTGTAAAATAAAGTGAAGGTTGCAGCAGTAAGAGTTGTAGCAAAACAAAGCAACCATGCTAGGTATACGCAACAGTGAGGCAACATGCAACCATCGTCTTTTACTCTGTCGACGAGTTCTTGGACGTGATCCACTTCCCGATATTTGTCTGCTTTTGTATTCCTCGGCTTGCTCGATTTAAAGAGCAAAACAATGACTATATTTACAGGTGCAACTATCAGTCCACTTTGCACACCAACAACGATTTGTCTCCACGAAACCTTGAAGGGTCCAATGTAAATAGCACCCTCTGATTCCCCACCAATGTTATAGAACATAGCATTGGCAATCATGGCGCTGAAGAGAACTGAGAGGCAGCATGAAGCTCTTTGCACACGAGTAAACGAGCTGCTACAGGCCTTGCCAAAGACAGACATCCACAAGTGACTGTCTGCAATTTTTCTTCCGAAACGGCTTCGAACTTGATCTGAGAAGGAACCCAAATTTCTATGCTTTACGGTAACTTCTGTTAAACCATCACCTTTTTCTACCGCAAGCCATCTGTTTATTGGGAAGGTCCATTGCTCTTCTGTCTGTCTGTCTCTGATTGTAACTGTTTCCACAAACCAAGAAGGGCCGCACCCTGAGTTGTCATGTTCTAAGGTTAATTCTTTCAACGTTCCCAACGATTCATCAGCGATCAAAACAAATCCGTTTATACCTCCTCTTGCAAACAGATCACTTGAGTCGTCGTTCCTGCGTAGTGGAATGTGATTGTGCTCATCTAACTCACCTTTAATACTGATTGTCACGTTTGCTGTTGTACCCGAATTTTTCCAAACGCCTGTGCAAATTACCATGTCGTAATGATAGGTCCCTTCTTCCACAATGGATACATGCTTTGGAGGGCACATCTAATGTGGAAGCAAAATTTCGTTATTTATATGACGCTGATGTAATCAAATTTAATCTTACTGGCGAGACAATAATTACTATTGAAAACTACAAATAGTGTAGCGCGAGAAACGAGTAATTTTAATAGACCCATCCTTATACGTAGGGAAAACGCCACAGAGTAACGGATCAAAATATTGAAACTTTTCTCCCACTGAAATAAAAGGCGAAACTTGGTTTTAAAATTATGTAACCATGCTCGGTCATGTTCGGTCATGCAACAGTTTAACTTCACCACATGTCTATACGAAAGGATCTGCATGCATATGCGTCTTTTCAGTCGCGATCTTCAGTTTCTAAATTTGGGTGATCGCTTTTGCAATCTTAAGAAAGTATGGTGGGACACTGTAGGTATTGGAGGATACGCACTGAGTAATACTCTGCGCTTTGTTCAATGGCCTAGGTACGAAAAATTATCGCTAGATGTGTGTTTTCGAAGGCCACTTTTGGACGGTCGAAAACGATGCGAAAATGTTGGGTAAGCGACAACTATTTAGACTGGACACGGCCTTGGTGTTAACACCGTGAACAAATGTCTGCAGATGAGCCTAGGGTGTCACTAGATATGCTAAAGATAATACATTTATTTTCACACATACCTTGTTTTCATCTCTTTTATCCCCTCTCCTCGCAAAAACTAGTACAACAAAATAAAGAAGAAACGCGCAAGCAATGGTGACCAGTACTGAAATGTTACCACTCTCAGCGAGGTTTGCAAACTCTGTGAAAACTTTGTCGAAGTCTATTGGATTTGGTGCTTGAATAAAATTACCCCCGAAGAAGGTAAGGTGATTACAACGGCAAATGAGATGGGTAGTATTCGACCTTCGATCAACCTACGAAAGAAGACTCAGTTATTAACAACAGTGCAAAGGAGAAGGAAAAAGATTAGGAAGATGATACATAAAGAATGTCTAGCGACACGAGTTAGCACTGATTGCCTCATTTTTGCTTCAGGCTCCCCATCCCACAGGTTCAATGCTGTTCAAAAGCTGCTTATCAAGATTAAAAAATTAAGCAGAACGCTGGACCAAACCCTACGTAGAATTGAACATGCAAACGAGAGTCGTAGGTTTGCATTTTACATTTTTAGTTAGCTACAATCTTGGACAAAACTTGATACGAATTTTGTAATTTCTTACCCACAGAACGCCTATCCCACGTATTTGGTATCGTTATGGCCCCCTGTCCTCGCCCCACCCTGACCATAGTTGTTCAGTCGGAATGAGAAATGATCTTGTCTTTCTCGCAGCCGTTTTTATCTCGTCACACAACGCTCCTTCCCCAACAAAAGGCTGCTCATATTCGAACCTCGTTCCACTTTGGGGAGGGGCGTATGTGACGAGACAAAAACGGCTGTGAGGGAGACTAGAAATGATCCGGGTGGACTTCAACATCATCTTTTATGGAGGGATGGGGAGTATTTTTCGTTGTCAGTGTTTTCAAGAACGTTATCTTGATCCAAGATTGTAACACGGGTTTGTAACACTGAGAAGTAACCGTGTACCCACCCTGCCCTCCCCAGGTTCAATCGACGTTTTCTAGGGCAATAAGGACTCACAGAGTCCCAAAGATGGTAGGGTGGTCCAGTTGGTATTACATCATTTTTTTTTAGGGAATAAGAAATTAACCTTGGATATAGGGCAAGCGTTTCAAGTGCATAGGCGCATTAGGTACTTTGGGTTACCTTGCAACCATCAGATGTCCACTTGTTCCTATCTTCAGACCAATACAAACAGCTTGATTGAGTGATGGCCATTGTATAGTTAACATCCGTCGAAGGGTTGTACTGCGGAGTAACCGTTTTAGTGAAACCCTTTGGCGGTGGATCTTTGAAGCCAACACAGGAGCGCCTTTGACGACCGTGGCCGAAACAAGATCTTTTTTCTCTGGAGTGTTCACTGGTATTTGTAGCACCCAAGAAAAGAATTCCGACATAAAGCAGACCTCGTTTTGGTGGCAGCACCAACATAGATGTTTCCTCTGGAAGACAGGACAAGCTGTTGCTTTTGCCATCTGTTTGGTTTTCACACACTGATTTAAACTCTCGAGTAAAATTGTGATCGTGATTGTCAACTGTGGGTCTGAATCCAAATTTAATGAACACTTCAATAACAAAGACACCTATTTCCGTAATACCCATCTTTATGGTCACTGGGACGTGCGCATGGTCCGCGTAGTAACTTCGGATAGTCATTTTATTTGGCTTTAAAAAGGAATGTCCAGGTACATCGCTGTTGTTTGTATTGTTCGTCGGTGACTCTGAAATTGGTATCACTATGACGATGTCTTCTTTGAGATTCGATACGTTTATTTTTGTCCCATTGTTACTTTGAAGTTCGAGGCTGGTCACTGGAGACTGAATCGCACTGCTGCTGTTGTCCCAGGTGTAAGGGTTAAACTTCAATGTCAGCATCTACGTACAATAGAAAAAGTGTGATGCCGCTATAGATTAATTTCATCGGTAAGGGAAAAACCCAAAATACCTACAGATAGGCTTAAAACCTGTTGGCTCATCTGATAAATAAACAGCAACTTTCCCTTGAGTACAATTGAAAACAATTATCTCTTTTGGTCAATTTACAAGAAATACGTTTAGCTCTAAAAAGTTGGCCCAGCTTTTTCAAGTTGCAATCCGTCTCTTAATTTCATCACTAAGGAAAAATCCCAAAAAACCGCGTACAGATAGGCTTACAATATGCGGGTTTATCTAATAAATAAACAGCAACTTTCCCTTGCCTATAGTGAGGAGAAAGAGGAGAAAAAATTGCGCCTTCATTCCGTTTATTCTCTTACAGGACCATAGCTGTCGACCAATGAGGACGCGATACTCAGGTTGAAGAGCGGGCTTTATTTCATTAATTCATCATAAACATCATTAAAAGGGCAATCTTTTCATAGTAAATTCTACATTTATTGGTTAAGGCAGGGTTGAAATTGTCGGTGAGTATGCTCAGTCACCTTTTCTCATACTTGGAACTCTAAAGAAAGCTATCAAATGGTTTTATCTAAGTGAAAACAATTATCGTTTCAGTTAACTTTACAAGAAAGAAGTTTTTTAACTCTAAAATGTTGGCCCAACTTTTCAAGTTGCAATCCGTCTTGATCCTAGCTATTAAAAGCCAAAGGCCCATACTTGTGCACAAGTAGCTGAGGTTGATAGCTGAAGTATAGTAGACTAATATTAAATAAAACCGAAGCATAATTTCAGGGTTTTCAGTTATTTCAATCTGTTTTTAGGGTTTAAAAAAGATCGTGACATAACTGTCACCTAACATCCTGGAACGTTTATATGCGCGGTTATCGAACCATAAATATGCCGACCATCTCCAAAGAAACAAAAAGCTCCTTACCTTTGCATTTACGTTATCCGTGCCCATTTCTCCAAGGTTTCCTGGCAGCTGAAACTTTGATGATCCTTCTTCCATGCTAAGTCCATTAACTTCCTTTGGAGAGACCTTCTTAAGTGATGAAGCCAGATTTGCAGTTTTAATGATCATACTTTCGGAAGGAACAAGGCGAACAAAAAATCCATCGTTCATAGCATTCAAATTTTTCGAGGCTCTTAATACGCTCCCCTGCAGTCAAAAAAGAAATAAGTCAAAAACAGAATCCAGGCTACAAACTTAACAGAAAACCATTTTAAAATTAGCTAAAACCTTCCATAAATCTTATTAGTTTGGCGCTCCACCGTTAAAAAATGGACATTTAGAAAAAAATTTTTTTACAGGTCATGGATTTAAATGGCTTCAACCAGCATCAATAAAACTTTCAGAATATCCAGAATATCCCTCCATACAACTTAGATTTATTTGGCAAATACTGTGAAAGAGCTCAAGAGCTTTCAAACAAATGATAACAGAATACCTGAGAGGACTGGGGTTGAGGGCTTCCCACAGTGAACACTCAGAAGGATTCACCTTTTGATATAGTAACGTTTGTCGTGGACTTCCTTTAAGAGATTGATGGAAGTCTTGTATTCAACCTTTTTTTCATCCTCGGACACCCAGGGGCAGCTAGTCGGGACGATAGATCTTACAGTAAACTTTTACCTCGAACATTCTATCGTCCCGACTAGCCGCCCCTGGGTCTCCGAGGATGCCTTTTTTGTATAGCTTCAAATTTGACAACATAGCATGGAAGTTAAAAAACGAAATTAAGAAATAATTGAGTGTCCACACTAATGGGAAAGTTGTCTTTTATAAAATTTTCAAACCTGCCTTAGCTTCTTCTGCTGCTCCGTTCGATTGGCCGGATGCAGATTGTAGTACATTGTTAAGGCAGCTTGTGACACTTGTTGCTGCTTCATCTAACTCAGCACTGAAAGGCTGCTCGAGGTCATTTAGAGCCGACAAAAGTAGGCCGGTTGTTTTCTCTGTCAGTTCTGTTGCTTTATTCTGAAAAAAATAAAAATTTATTAGTTCAACGAAACACGATTCTGCCACGTTGTTGGTTCAGAAAGACAAAGAAGGAAAAATCAAATTTTAAAAAAAGGACTGGATTAAACTAACGGGTTGCGGGATCTAAGGGTACACTTCTGCAGCGATCTTCAGTAATACCTCAAACTATGGGTATAATGTCTTAGAAAAAGTAATTGATTTTTTAGGTTAACACCCTACAAGACAGAATGCAATTTTTTGTACGATTCTGATTGGTTAAAACAGTACAATTTACTTACACTACACTGCAAAGCACGTATATTAATGCAAGACAAATTTACGTGGGCGAGTTTTTCTAATTGTAAGCTTTTGGTGTCTCCAACTTTTAGGACCGGCGTTTAAAAATGTTTTAGAGCAAAAGACACACCTTTTCAAAATGGGGTTGAAAATCTGTTTTTTAACAGATGGGGGTAGATGCATTTTCAGTAGGAGTATCGAATGGCTTAAGTAACTTAAGTAATGTGCTGGTTACCATGGCGTCACTGCAGTCATCGCATGTTTGCTCTCCTTGTTCTCCAATCGCCACTTTCACTACCGCCATAATCGTTCGCGACATTTGCAGGGTCTCTGGGTTTATTGCTGTGAATTTCTCCACTAATGTTGTCGAAATCTGGTAGCGTTGAAAGGCATTACATGGAGTTAACATTCAAGGAGATAACATGTTAATGTCAAATAAGAAAGTATCTCAATAGATTTTACAAGCTCGGTGCATATAAGAGAGTTAACTACCCAACTAACTCAACAAACAGAGAAGTGGTACAAGGTTCACCTCCTATATTGCATTGAATTGCATTAGGAGCACGGGTGGCACAGCTGGTTAGTGCGCGGCTTTCGGTGCGAGAGGTTCCGAGTTCGATCCCCGGTGACATCACATCCTTGTTTCAACTTCCCTCCTTTCTGTGTAGCTTTGACTAGCTTTAAATACCCTCAAAGCGGACCATTGATGGAGAGAGAGAGAGAGAGAGGAGGTTAAAATCAGGGCACCGTCGACCTCAATTTCATCAGTTCTAACTGTCACGATTTATCGACGTAAAATATAGTTGCTTCACCTTTTTGTACCTTTTCATTGGCAGGAGTTTCCATTGGATAATACTTACACGCGTTCTTAATACGTTTTGAATCAAGTCTAATATTAAAAGGAACGACCATGCAAGGAATAAAAACCTGTATGCTAACGTGAAGGAGTCTAGCTAGTAGTTAAATGACCATGGCTCTCCTAGCTAGCACATCAGCTCCAAGACGAACTGAGGCCCTCATTTCAAGGTTCACTTTATGACCTTCTTAATGGCCGACCTCCCAGAGGTAGGAAAAAAATACTATATCCAGAGAACACTACAAACAAAATTGTACAGTGGTGGTTTCTAGTGAAAAAAACCTGTCAAACCGATCAAGCCACCTGAAAATAGAACGTAACCTTATCTTAATGTGATTCCACCGCATTTTGCATTCCCCGTAGGCAGAAACTCATAAGGGATTTCAGCTGTAATTTAATGATTTTCCTTGGCAAAAAAAGGAGTAAAACATTCCTGTTATACTACTTCAACAAGAAAGAAAAATGCAACTAAAGCCTTCTAGTCCACATCAGAGGGCATGTCGCTCACGATGACTCTTACTGCCCAGTTACACTGCTTAAATCAGAGCTGCTAATAGCCATTTCAAGGGCATATGTTTGTTGTACTAATGATAAATTCTTCAATTAAAATGCGCTGCATGCATGTTATCAATTCTCAAATTTCTTAGGCCTCATCGTGATGCATAGAATGAGTGCCCAGAGACATCCTTCATCCCCTTTAAATGGTAAAAACCTTGATCGTTGTCATTATGTTACTTACCGAAGTTTTTACTTCTATGCTTAAGCCTTTTCCACAATCTGGCGTCTCATTAGCTGTCTTCAAGACAGTTAATGCAAGCTGTGAAGCCTGGCTGATTTCCCCTTTTCTTAAATATTCATCCAACTTACAGTCCTTCACCGCGATAAGACCGTTTAGCATATTGGCTACTTCATCTACTGGTGTAAAACACGGATTAAATTTGGAGGATGGCTTCACCTACAAAGAGATTAGGCAATAAATTTATTCATATCACAGTTTTTAGCAATTCGTGGCCCACATCTTTGCTGGGCAAAGCATTTGCTTTATTATTACTGTATTTTTGCAATGCATTTATCAACATGTTTAGCGGCTCTATTGTTGTTGCTCCTGGTTTATAGTGTTTACCTTTATATTACGACCCATCAAGAAGAGCTACCACTCAAAGGAATGTGTACCAGAATAGGTACCTGTTCTTACAATTCGCTGAGTAGATCAAGGGAAAAAAACTTTAAGATCACTAATATCGCTATATTTTATAAAGGTAAAAACGTAAAAAATAGAAATATATGTTTTTTAAAATACCTTTACAAACACTGTCTCTGTAACTGCCACACCAACAAAGTTTTTAACAATGATCGTTATTTGCACTCTGTGTTGATCTTCTGGTTTTCCGTTTGGTAACACCGTTGAAACAGACTTTGGAGAGTTTCCATAAGAAATTGGATCGTCTCCAATACGAAATTCATAGCTTAAAGGCTTACTTTTATCTGCCCAATTCAAACACTCAAAGATGAACTCTGTCTCAAGTGCCACGCCTTCGCTGACCGATGGCGTGCAGTGCCCGCTGTGCGGCGCTCCAGCGGTCTCAAAATCCAGTACACCAAACCCTTGTGATCCTGATTGCGAAGTCACAATGAGCTTCAGGATAAATTTTGTGTTTGAGGGCAATACGTCCTTCTTGATGATCATATTACTCGCATTTAATGCTGTTGAAGTCATATTAGGGAAAATAGTAACATCTTCCAGTGTATCCGTCGCATCATTTTTCTTTTGTAGCCGCCATTGGTAGACTGAATCAACGCAAGGAACATTGGAGCACTCCGATGTCACTCGAAGCTTGTTTGAAGCCGAGACTATGGTTCCACAATCTACAAAGCACCTAAAATCAAAGCAAATTTGATATCAAAGGTAGTTACGTTTCGTTTTCTGCCTATTGAAACAATTATTCCACAGGTAGCATAAATCTAAGCGATAAAGATGATTTGCATCTGTCGAAAATATTTTGCCTCCTTTTTATTGTTACTACTATTTCCGTTTTCAATAAATCTATTTAATTCTTTATTCATTTCAATATGCTTTTTTTTTCAGACAAGCTAAGTCGATTAATTGAGTGGGCCATATACCATTACAAGAAAAATGTAGTGTCAAAGACTTTCTTTAGATAGTGTTTCGGTTGCATGACTTACTGTTGTATTTGAGGCGTTTATAGCGTCCTGATCAATTACATTATCACATTTACCTCAGTTTTACTTGAGGTATCTGCCCGGCTGCTATCTCAAATGTCATCTCAGCAAAGGCACTCCTCGCATCTTTGGACACATTTAAACATAAGACATAGGTCTTTCCTACATCGAGTACACTGGTGTCAATAATAACTGCAAGGGCATTTGCTCCATCAACAAAGGCACCGAAACAATCATTGCTCACTGGACCATTTTCAATTGCCTCACGGCAGTACCAAGTAAATTCGACTCCATCATGATTACCAGGGCCAACGTCTCCGTCATAGCTTAGTGAACCATCCACTGTAACAGTTTCTACTGATCCCCATCGAGCACTACTGCCACCGTCAATGATGGCTCGTAGAGGTGCAGCAATAACCTCAATAAAACCATAGTTGAACGCCTGGATAGTCTGTGGAGCACCTGAATCTCCAATTTGAAAAGAAGCAGTAAACTTTACTTGGTAGATTCCCACAGGTAGGGATCTCCTATTTATAATCCATTCACTGCTTCCTTCTCTTTCTAAGGTTCCTTCTGCTGACTCTGAAGCTGATAATTCAGCTTCACTCACCAGACGCCATTGCAACACACTTTGCAACACGGGCGTATTTTCTGGTAAACCTTCAATTAGCGCTTGTTGGACACTTTGAACAGATCGCTGGACAACAGTAGCGTTATATTTGTCCTTGGACATATCCACGATGACCACCGTGAAGTCCCCTGTTAATTAAAAAATGGAAACAAAAACTGAAATATACTTGCTATAGAGTGGTTAAATAACCAAGGCAATTTGTTAAATTGTTGACGTTCAAGAACAAATCCTGTGGTCGCAATCCAGTAATGAGGAGCTATTAATTTTCCCAGTTATTAACAGAAAACAAAATTTAGTCCACGTGGCTGCCCCGTGACAGATCACATAAAAAGACAAAATGTAGTAAGAAAATCACTGACCCACAGTCTTTTGGCTTGTTTGCCCCCTTTTTCTCCTACCACATTTTCACGTTATCTATGATCTCTGACTATAGATTCTCATGACAAAACTGAATATATATGAGGTATCTGACAGTTATGATTCATTCTACATAAATTACAAAAATACCACTATACGCTACTACTCCTCACCTACAGGTTCGCAGACAAGACCATCCCCAGTGTAGTCGCTGCGACAACTGCAAGTGAATGAGCCGATTGTGTTGTGACAGTTTGCCACTCCATGACAGTTGTGACTTACTGCTGAGCATTCGTCGATATCTAAAATTAAAAAAAGAGGACTGGACCCTATTTGTAGTTCATGAAGTGAGAACGGTTGCTATCCTTACCAATATTTGGACAAGTGACTAAAACATTTTGAAGACATTTCATTTGAATTACTACTTTTTACAGTGAAAAAAACATCAGATATCCAAACAGCAGAAGGTCGGCTTAAGAAACTTAATTTTTAAAGCCACTATCTAGTGTTTTGAAACTTTTTCAATGGTGTCGAGTGTGATTGCATTTGATTTAACTTTATACATTCAGACGTATCAAACATTTGAAACAACTTCTTATGGACAAATTGTATTGTCATGATCTCCCCGCGCGTTATTCATGATCAAAGTTATAGGTCAATATAGGGGTTTTATGCCTTCTGTACTTGTCACGATGTAGCCTGATGAGCCAGAGGCAAATGCAGATCCATCGGTCGTTCATATCTGCGGTTTAACGTCCAGCACTGTTCAGTTTGCAGAGCTTGTACAATAATTTCTTGATATAGAATAATAGTATATGTGATTGAAATAAGATATTACCCTTAAATGAAGGAAGCTCTTGTCACCTCGAATAAGTATATAAAGTGCTCACGCGCCAACAAACGTACCAGAACATTCCACACCGTTTCCTGAATATCCTTGGACACAGTTGCATGTAAAAGAACCAATTGTGTTAATGCACTGAGCGTTTGCGTCACAGTTATGTGTCCCAGATGCGCATTCGTCTATATCTGAGTGGGAAAGCATATATTAATGACTAACAAAATACCAATTACCTTTAACACTGTCCAAAAACAGCCGCGTCAAAAGACTTGGATTTAAAGCTGGAATGTTTGTGATTCTCCATATTACAAAACGATATCTAATACATTCCCCCTAGGGTGGTTAAAAAAGAAGATTCCTTTTTCAATGATGATTCCTTTTCTGGGTAGTTCTCTATATCTCCATCCTTGGACCTCTAACTTGGATGTGTAAGAGCAGCCTTTTTCATAAGTAAATTGAGTTATGTTATGTTCTGTTGTATTTTTCTATATGTTGTAGTACAGTATTGTCTTCCTGGTTGCCGTTTTGTTGAAAATTCAGTTTAGTTATAGAATATGTATTAATCAAACATTTTGCAGCTTTGCTCCTGATTCACATATTCCTTTTTCCTTAAAAAATGCCAAAGAATCATAGCATTTATGACGTCATGTGTCGTTACTATAGAAACCAACTAATGTTGCTAAAATATTACTGAGTAACACACGAACAGAAAATAAGGTCTGAAAAAAAGCACTAATTATAAGGAAAGCTATCCTCTTCGTCTCCAGCGATTATTACTGCGACCTCAGGGCAGTCTTGTATGCTGGGCGCCCGAGGTTGGCCATTATTTTCTAAGCGTGACAACTGTGAACGACTTAATTTTAGTTTAAGACCTTCAAGAATCTTAACGGTGTAGACCTCTCGAACTCTGTTCAACAAAACGCTTTCAGGTCATGAAACTTAATCACTTCCCTGCACGAACTGATCAGTGCAAATTTTCCTTTTTTCCATCTGCTATTTCTCTATATAATAGCCTTCTTCAGGAGGGAGTCCACACTACAAACCCAGGCAGCAGCCTTTAGTGCTAGGGTCAAAGCGTTTGGCAACAAATTGCCTTAGCCTAAATTCGGTCAACTCTAGCATCAAACATCATATTTTATAGATGGCATTTCATAAGTGTTATATGCAGGCTCTAAATGTGATTTCTAATTGAGATATAATGATGTAATTTACGTCTGTAACGATTACTTTTCAATGTTTATATTTAATTTATTGGCCTCGGTGCTAATATGCAATAAGCGTTCCCGATAAGTAAAACAGATACAATTGCAGAAAGTTGTTTTGTGAATATAGAAGAAACACCCTTATTCGCTTGGCAACCACAACCCCGCGACCCAGCTCCCCCCTTCCCCCGACACCCCGGTTAACATGGAATCTTTCGGTTTTTTTGATGCTGAGATTACAAACATACCGTCGCATTGTTTTCCATCCCCGGAGTAACCTTGATTACAGCTACAAGTGAATGAACCATCTGTATTGCTGCACGTCGCATCTAAGTGACAGTCGTGCGCATTTGTTGTGCATTCATCAATATCTGTTACAACACAAAAAATGGTAAAACTGTGAAAGGTCTGGCGCGTGATCGTCCAGGTGAGCGTTGTCCTGGAAAGAACTGTTTTTGACAGTGACTAACGTTTCTGTAAGGTAGTCGTCTTCAGAGTCAAAGTGAGTTGCACCCGTTCACTTCCGTCCATGGTCATTGCATCGTTGTTTTTGGTGGTTGATGGTTATTGACATGAAATGCTGTTTTTAAAATACCATAAGCAGAAATATCTAATCGTTGGTGTTATTTTAGCTACAGAAACATATGAAACGGCTTTTAAGAAGCCATTGAGGCTATTAATCATGATATATCAATGATCAATACCAACTAAGCATATCTTCACATTATAGTGAAACACAGATTAACACCTCGATGAAACATTGTTGTTTTTTTTTTAAACGTGGCGGTGTAACTAATTTAGCTAATCTCAGTTCAGATTCGAAATAATAAGATAAAACAGGGCAGTTACTATTAACTTTTACCTACATTTTCAATCTCAAATCCTAGGTGGTGTCTTAACTGAACACTTTTGAAAGGGTGGCTTATTTTCCTCAGCAATCTTAGGTGAATATTCAATTGATATTTTGGAACCAACGCTGTATTAGCTCAGTCGGTAGAACAATTGGCTGCAATTGATTCGATTGGATCGATTCTGAGAGCGGGACCAACACCCATGGTTTTAAAATAACTGAGAAATGAAGATATTGCCTTTGCCCTGAAAACAGCTAAACCTCCTCCTGGCTCGGATGACGTCCCGTTGCCAGTAGGAGACTTAATAATAGTTTCTTAATTGATACTTTAGTGCCAATTAGATGAAAACTCAAATTCAGTGCTTTTTTAGTTTTTGTTGAGATTGTGCGGGAGACTGGGTCGGGCTTGTATCGAATTGCATCGCGGGATTGTTTGGGGGGTGCACCGCCGCTTCTTGGCAACCAATCAGATTGTTCTTATGCAAGAATTTGTTCCCAAAAGAGCCGCATAATGCAATTCGATACATCACCGACTCCGTCGCACGTACAACCTCCATAAGACCAATGTGATCACATGATCACCAGGGCATTGTTAACTTTTTTACTTACCAGAACAGACTATCCCATTTCCTGAGTATCCCTGAAAACAGGCACATGTGAATGAACCAACGCTGTTGCTACACAGAGCATTTGAGTCACAGTTATGAGTCCCATCCTGACATTCGTCAACATCTGAGAATATACCATGATTTATAGAGGGAAGTTATATGAGCACAACATGAAATGCATTCAAAAATTGGGCAAGCACTCAAGCGGATTGTTTGCTGGGGCAGCTTTACACGACCGTTTAGACATCTCATTGCAAAAAGGAAAAATGGTGTGTTGTTGGGTGGAGAGATTTAAAACTGAAAGTATAAACTTTATACAGAAATTAAAAACATACCGGCGCAATGTTCTCCATCCCCTGTGTATCCTTGGTTACAATTGCAAGTGAACGAACCATCAGTATTGCTACAGATTGCTTCTGCGTGACAGTCATGAGCACTGGTTGTGCATTCATTAATATCTGTAGAAAATCCAACGTCGTTTACCATAAAAACACAAACATCGTGCCGTCTATGTCACAACATGACTTCATTTACCTTTCTGAAAACCTCAATTGCTAACAAAAATATATACATCCATTCTTTTCTTTGCATTAATTTACCACACCGGTTCTAAAAGAGCCCATAAAATAGCCCTGGATCGAGTCGAGGATCACAAAGGAAAGAAAGAAACCCGCAACTTAATGTGGTTAGCTGATTTTTAAATCCTTTCTCATTTCTAGGTTCCTTTAAGAATCGTAAATCCTTATTTTGAAGGTTACGAACGATGCCGATGGTCATATTTCGATCTTGGGCCACCTGTGGTTATCCACTCCTCAAGATGGCGGCTTTTCAGGGGTGATTTACAACACAGTGTGCAGGAATTCACCAGAATACTTGTCGTTGCAGGTAGGCGCCTCACAGAAAACAATCCCTAAAGAAATTAGTTTGGAACCAATATCATTGAACTGAAATGAGATAGACACTTCGTGTGATCACTGCCGAAGATTCGCTGCGTCCCTAGGGGAGACGTGCATCCGGTCACGGGAACCGTCCTCGAAAATAATTTTTCCGCCTTGCAGGCCTCATTTTGGCCTACAAATGAGATGGGGGCCTGGGGCCCGTTTCCCGAAAGTCCCTATAATTAACGGGCCCGGTAAGCTGTTCCCGTGTACATTAAAGATCTAGGTTTCAATACTTTTGCATCTAATATCATAAAAGTATCAGTTAATGAAACAAAATGGAGTAGTTTGCTGGCCAGGACCCGCCCTTTTATGCTTCATATCTCGATTTGAATATTTGATTTTGGGCCCGAAAAGTTACCGGGACTTTCGAGAAACGGGCCCCCTGGCCCCCCTGGGTCTCTCCCTTAAAGTTTACAGCCGCCCCTGGTAATTTTGTCTATTTTAAGTACAAGCCTTTTGTGCTTGAGAGTTGTTGCTTCTCTTTATTTTTTTGTTTTGTTTTGGATTTTTTCATTTGCACTTGCTGCATACTCTTAAAATTTCCACCCTGTTTTCTACTGACATTCAATTGAATTAGCATGTTAACTCACCAGAACAAGACAGACCATTTCCTGCATAACCCTGAAGACAGGCACAAGTAAAGGAACCAATCGTGTTGCTGCACTGAGCGTTTGCATCACAGCTGTGCGTCCCAGCTTCACATTCATTCTCATCTATGGAAAAATGGAAATTTTGCTAAAAACAGACAGAGCATTCACATTTTCATCAAAAAAGTACAGCAGGTCAAGTTATATGTTAAAGCAGCCTTGCCGGGAAAGATTAAGTTGTTTACATTATTATGCGCAAATAATTTTTCGTGGGTTCATGTTCCTATCCCTGGTTGTTCAAACGGTTGATAGTGGCATTCTGAAGATAAATCCCGGTCAAAGGGATAACACAATATTGGTTTTTTGGAACACCTAGTCACTGACAGTGATCAGTATCCAGTGAAGAGCGCTATCCATCTTTCGAGTAACCAGGGCCTGAATGGGAGTGACCACAACGTTTGGTTGCACGTGGTAATTAACAAGATCAACGGTCTTATTGTAAACTACAAATTCTTTACAGGTGCAATCAACTTTTTTCACCAAAATGAAGGTAAATCTTGTTCTTTTTTATTATCAAACACAAATAGTAGTTAAGATTAGGATGATATTTTGTGAGATTAACGCTTGCATAGTGCTAAGGTATTTTGATATTTCATTACCCGCACAAAGTATCCCGTCTCCTGTGTATCCCTCGTCACAGCTACATGTAAATGAACCCACTGTGTTGGTGCAGGTCGCTTCTGAGTGGCAATTGTGGGTATCGTCATCGCATTCATCAACATCTACAATTTCTAAATTTTAAAGTCTAGAATTAGCACAAACGCATTGATGAACAATTGGGAAATATTGATATATAAGAAAGAGGTCTTGTTTTTCAGAATTTTTTGCCATTAAATAGGTTTTAAACTGTTTTTAGAAACAGCACTGCTGAATTTCTATATTAAATAGTTTCGAATTGAAATGTTAATACACGTACATGTATTTTAGCCATATTACACATAAAATGTAAAAAAAAAAAAACAATCACAGTGGTTTCCGGCAACAAGAACGTAAAGAATCATAACAATTTTAAAAAGTTAATAAACAAAATACGAAATTGGTACTCTATATGGCCTTAATGTGGCCACTAAGAGGACACAAAATCAACATTTCAGTGGAGTAGGCTGAGTAATATTTTAAGGCCATTTTCTCTAAGAGACGTTAATATCAGGAGCTATTGTTGATCGAATTTACTATCATAGCCAAATATGACGTACACTGAAGTTTTATCGGCCTACAAAAAAAACATAATAGATGATAAAATTACAAACAGCTGTACAAATAATGGAGTATCTTGATAACTGTCATTTGATATCTTGCGAGGGTCTCCCACAAAAAAAAAAAAACTACACTTAGACTTTTGAGCAGTTGTACTGTACCGTTTGATCAAAATACTATTCTGGGTTTGCATTTATTCCAATTTTACTTGCTATACTAATGTATTTTACCAATCCACGTACTTACCATCGCCACAGTACCTCAACTGACATGTACTTGGGGGCACCAGCTTGTAAACATAAAAGTCGCCGCAGTTTACTACTTGAATGTTATTACTCCAATTGCAGCAGTTTCCATTCCATGTGTAGCATACTTTCCTTGTCACTTCTCCATCTGCGACCGTTGGATGGCCTACTTCTAACCACCCAGGTGCATGCGCTTTGCAGCGGTTCGTAGGAGGACAGGTTTCCGGGAGGGAGGTTCCCGCTGCGCGTACGAACCGGTACCACTGAATAGTGATTGCATTATCGCAAATTCCACTCCCATCAGGATTTACATGACCGATGTTCCTGTCCGGTTGATGTAGTTCAGTATAAGAGTTGCAAGGGTCAACTACAATTTAAAAGAGCGGTGTAACGAACGATTCACCCTTTAAACCTTGATATCAAATTCAAATTCACATTTGTTATAGAAGTAGTGGGGAAAATTTGTTGAAGCATCAATTAGATTCATTGTGTGATCATGTCCTCGATTCTCATGATCACTGTGTTTTATAAAGCGTGATATCGCAAGGAGAAATTTTACGCTGATCACTCTTAGGGCTTAAAGGGTTAATACTACTTGAATATCAAACGGAACTTGTTTTGTCAATCGATTTTCTTTTGTTGAACTTGCTTTCTGAAAAGTCACTAATGTAGCACACAAAAAGCAGCTAAAAATCTCAGATTCTCCCCTGATTTTACAAGTTTAACTATGTTATTTCAGAAACTACTGACCAGTACTTCTTATCACCTAGGACATTGAACGGATGTCTTTGTCGTGTTGTCCAGGGACCTTTCGTACAACAACGAGTGATGGAAACAAAGGAAAAGGAAATACACTACGCCAAGCTTAAAAGCGAAACAATTAACATCAAACCACTGAAAGACTAAAAACGTTATTAAATGTTAAATTTATTGCTGTACGCTATAAGCAAAAAATGAAGAGCAATTCTCACCTATATACATCTAGTTAGCAGTTACAACTTACCTCCACGCACTTGCCTACCACGAGTTAATATCAACAAAGCATGAAGGAAAAACAAAATCATGGCTGTCTGTAAGAAAAGAAGAAGTAATGCCGTGAAACACATGAAAAGATCCTTTAAGAATTTCAACAGTTTTAACCCATTCTGAGCAAATCAATTAAGCTTTACATCACCGGCATAAAATTTCCTTCCATACAATTCTTGCCATTATCCCTACTGATATTTTTAGGGTGAATTCCTATTTGGACGTTTTCTTTTATCCTTAGAAATGTTTTCTCTGTCACTTCCAAGAGATGGGTTGACGGCGCTATGAATCGTGTATTAGGTAAGGTTACAATGCACGTTTAAGTTATTTGCACTGGATATCGCACTGGTAGTAAGGCAACCATTTGAATTTCTCCTGACAAATGCATTCAGAAAGGCTTCAAATCAGTCTCGTCTCTTTGTTAGTTTTCATTGCCCAAACAATGGTAAGTTATTTAATACTGCGTTGTCTCAGACATGGGAGAGGTTTTTTTATTACTACAAAGACGACTCCTTGAGAGCATCGGCAAAACTTTGCACATGCATCACACTATTTGGTGCATTTCTTTCCCCTCACTGAACGACTACGACACAAGATTTCTTAATTTTATGATCTACAGTTGCGTTACTAACAGAAGGCACTGGATACGGTCCATAAGAATTCAACTCCAAAAAAATCGCCTATAAATTAAAAATTGAACAAAATGGAGTAATAAAGATGAAGTCGGTTGAAACAGCTCAGACTTGCTTTTTTAAAAAAGCAAATCTGAGCGGTAAAAGTGGCTCATTTTTTCGGTCTTGCCGTCTTGTTTGCATGTAACTAACTTCCCTATTAACATCATCCGTCTTGATCGTCTTAATATTCTCAGAAGTGTCCATATATATCTTACGAGATGAAGCTTGTGAGCGTAAATAACACTATTTATCTAATAATTCTACTTCTGGGGAATTAAAAGGTTCAAATTTTGCAAATACGCCTACCTTAAACTCGATATGTTGGCAAGAAGGTTGAAGTACTGTCACACACTGTCCTTAATCACACCTACGGGGTCAATAGCACAATTCTTTGCATAAGTCTCATTATTTTCTGCCTTTTGGGGATTTTACGCGCAAATATTGAAATCAAGCAATAAACTTCGGTTCACTGAATTATTAACTATATCCACTCTTTGCTTTAGAGACCTTTATGGTGCATTATTGAAGTCACCTGTGGTGTGATTATTAGTGTTTGTATAATTTATCAACAGAACTTAATCTCAGTGAGTAAAGTTGTTTTGGATGAACTACTGAGAGTACACCGACAACTATCGTCCGAAGTCATATATTTGAAGACAATTTACAACTTAAATGAAATCAAATGACAACCCTACTTTAACAATGTGGCAAAGCCATGTTCAGGCTACACTTTTAAATGGTCGATGTTTGATTTTTGATGTATGATGATAATCACACTTTTTCGAGAACATAAACAAAAGGAAAACGACGCTTAGTAAACAATAGTTTCTCCATGGATTGATTACATACCCTTGGTGTGCAAATTTAGTATTTATACGTAGGTTATTACTCGAAATTTCAAAACGCATATAAGAGGCTCATAGGGGAGAGTGGAAGAAACGAGATTCATGTTCCCATTCCGCTCATTAAAATTTTAGAGCTTTCTCCTGTAGGGTATTTTAACACCAGTGAAATAGATCCACTCTACATGCAATGCCTTGGATCTCAATGCGACTAACACTTAATCTTATTTTCCTGAAATTCAGAATCACTCAAATCTGCACTATCAGTCTGATAGTGCAGATTTGAGCGTAGCGTCCATTTACGACTATCCGCCCTTGCATACAACTGAAATCAGCAAAAAAATGTGTCCTGAAAGCATTTTTCATCATTGAATCGGGATGATTGACAAATCTTTCGCATTATATTATATTGGTGTCTTTGCCCGTCTGGGTAGACATGTCGCCCATTTTTTTTAATCTCCTTGATGACTTCTCTGTTTTAACTTTTTTTTTTCTTTTTCCCGTAAACACTGTACTTTACTGCTAATACTAGGGATGTTAAATATACAACTAGCTATTGCATTTTCCTTCTTATTTATTTACTGAAAATATCCTGCGGAAAAAAGCAGGAAATGGCATTTCTGAGCCCCTAAACTTAAAAATTGTTCTGGTGGAACATACCTCCATAAGAACCCCATAGTTTGGAGTGCCTTCGGCGGTCTAACCTTTTTCCCCGTGTGTACACCTCTAAAATCTCATGTCACGGCCCTGAATATGTTAAGGTTAGGAAAAATCAATACAAGAGACGCTTTTAGGGACCGGTAAATAATTGGCTTGGGGGGGGGGGGAGCTGGTGCATCAGTGAGTATACCATGTTTGGTTTTTCATGACCCCCTTACCCTGTAAGACACATTCAAGCTCCTCTAAACGTTTTCCAGAGAAAAAACGGAGTCTAAGCAGTCATTAATTATACCCATTCAGGATTGTCATACTGTTTGGAGAAGCTAATCAGCTACGTACCTGTCATTCATATAACGCTAACAACTTGTTCGAGCAGTCAGCTTTAAAAGTAAATTTAATGCCAGGATATAAATTACCATCCCTTTGCATGCAATTTTTTCAGAGGCACTGCGAAAATTGTAATCCAAAATAAAACCGGATAAAATCAAATCGAACCAGAAGAACGACCAAAGTAATAGACAAAAAAAACATCTTAGCCTCCAGGGAATCAATCAAATAGCATTGGTTACGTAACAAGATGAAATCATTCATGGGAATGCTAGGGAAAGAATCGCTTCACAAAAAGAAAGCATTTAGCAAAAGCAAGAATCATTTAACAGCTTCTAAAGTAATAGTACTTGAGTGAATCGTCCCTCAAAAACATACAAGTTCATTCTTACAGAGGATTACGTAACCATTTCAAGTGATCACCGCTTTTTTAAGATGTCTATAGCAAAGATAATGAGTCTGACTGAAGTTGAGTTTTGTTCCAGTTACTTATGATGGACTGGTAATGCCTTGAAAGGGCCTGGTTGATTAATTTGGATAGCTTGCTTGTTTGACCACTCACTGTTAAGGTCTTGAAATTGCGTCGCTGGGGTAGTAGTGAAAAATAAAAAAAAACCTTTATGGTCAAACACTGAGCCTTCCTCAAAGCGAATGACGAGGCGCTACATGGCGCCCAATATGTATTTTATTATTGCACCGTCCTCGACCTTCTCGTTAAGCCACAGGACGGGAGAGGAAAGAAGACGGCAACCTTGTGTGACAAGCGTGACAATAATTTTGTTTGAAACAAAATTTCCGCAAACTTCACTTTCCTTTAACCAGATCTTTTTGCAAAAGACCAGAAACCCTTAATGTTAAGTGAAGATCACGACAAAACATGCAAGTAACAGCCGTGTCAGGTTTGTCACATGCAAACGTTTTGCTGTCCTCTTCTTCCTGCCGTCCTGTTGCGTAAACTCACTATTAGCATCAACTGCGTTTTTCTTAGCATATTCAGTACAAAGCCCTTGTCTTTCGACATTCCTGTGAGCGGTTAGTGTGTGTTTTGTGCAGTCTGAGGGCGGATTTATTAAAAAGCAGAATAAAAAAACCTCGTTAACTTAAAATGGATATTTTTATTTTTTCTTAACTCTTCTTACCTTTTCTTTAGATTCCTCCAAGCGGTAATCCCTGCGCCAAAAAAAATCTAGCAGAGCACATTAACAATGTTAGGACTAATGCTATGCTCTTTCACAGTACGGAATTTAGGAGGTCAGTGAGCAAGTCTGGTAACAGCAGCTTCCAACTATAAATACCTCGGAAATTTATTTTCTAGAATAATCGTAATAATTGTTCACCTTTTCTCAGACAAAGTAGAAACTTAACATGAACTGTTAACATAAACGTGTCTAAGAAACATTGATTAAAAGTTAATAAGCTTACATTAATTTAATTGAATCAAAATCTAGGTTTTTGGTCCGCTTCTTCTTTCTGAAATTTTTGCTTGTGGAATCCGGAATCCTCGGCTTTGGAATCTGGAATACAGCTTAAGGAGTCCAGAATCCCACTAAAAGTTGGAACCTGGAATCCAAGTTCCACTGACAAACAATCCGGAATCTATGCCGTGGAATCCAGAATCCAAGACTGTCTTGGATTGCCTTACATGGGGTGAAGCTCACTTACCATGGTCCCCGCAGTACCTCGACTGGCAGAAGTCAGGTGGTACCAACTTATAGACATGCGGCGCGTTGGCTTTGCAGCGGTGAGTCGGAGGACAGTTTTCTGACGTAGATGTCCCAGCTAGACCAATAAACCGATACCAATGATTTACGATTTCCGAGTCACAAGTTAGATTACGTTCCACATTCTCGTAACCGATGTACCTATCTGGCTTGCTCTGTTCAGTGTAATCGGTACTTGGATCTGCAAGTTAAACGCAATAAGGGTTTTCTTTCCGTTAAGAAAAGCAATAAGATCTAGCCGAGAGTAGTTAAACAATACATGTTCAATCATCGCATTTGTTCACTTTTTCGATCAAAACTTTACGTTATGACTTAGTGTTGCTTTTGGGCGCTTTCTATTTGTCAGAACTGACCGGCCGACCAACCGTTCCCGCCTCAATAATATTATGTTTTAAATCAAAACTTACCGGCAAAATCAGTCAAAACCTAGATTTTATGCAGGAAGCAGATGACTTTTCATTAAACCCTCCTGGAAAAAGCCTATTTCAATGTCAAACTGACTGGCCGGGCAATGGTCCGGCCGGCCAGTTCTGACAAATGGAAAGCGCCCTTGTATAAAGGGGTATCAGGGTCAAAATTCGGTTCCTAATAGGGACAGGCACAGCGAAAGGCCAGCTCAACGTATTTAGGCCAGGCACAGCCTATCGAGCACAGGCAAAGCGTATCGAGGACAAGTACAGGGTATTTAGAACAGGCACAACGTATTGAGGACGGGCACAGCGTATTGAGCACAGGCACAAAGTATTGAAGACAAGCACAGGGTATCGAGAACAGGCACGGCGTATTTAGGACAAACACGGCCTATCGAGGACAGGCACAGCCTATCGAGCACGGGCAAAGCGTATCGAGGACAAGCACAGGGTATTTAGGACGGCCACAGCGTATTGAGCACAGGCACAACGTATTGAAGACAAGCACAGGGTATCGAGGACAGGTACGGCGTATTTATTACAAGCACAGCCTATCGAGCACGGGCAAAGCGTACCGAGGACAAGCATAGGGTATTCAGGACAGGCACAGCGTATCGTGCACAGGCACAGCGTATTAAAGACAAGCACAGGGTATCGAGAACAAGCACAGCGTATTGAGGACAAGCACAGCGTATCGAGGACAGGCACAGCGTATCGTAGACAGGCACAGCAACTACAGAGCCCGAAATACTGTTCTTCTACTGTACAGCGAGCACTGTCTCCTTTTCGGGAGCTTTTCTGGAGTTGTACGACACCCAGTGTCCGCATTGTTTTTAGCTTGTAAAATGAACCGTCTTAAAAGGAAACTGCAGGAGATAAAAGACAATATGGACGACAGTATCTGTGCTATGTCTTCAACTCCCGGCACGTCAGCCGCTGGAGCATCACGTGCAGTTGCACAGGGCCAACAAGGCAATTGTTGTTTTTTATTTTCTACTTTGTTTTTTCTTTTGTTTTCTTTATATTTGCAAAACAAAAGTACGCTTACCTTGTAGTCGCTGTGTTGAATTTTGACTTCCTATCGAAATGGAACTAGGCTTGTCACTGTCAGCCTGGCCGCAATTGTTCAAACGTTGGATAGCGCTATCCACCAGATAAATCACTATCCAGCGGATATCGTAATTGATTTCCGTAATACTTTTCTGCTGGATATTGCTCGGTCGCAAAACTGCAAGGAACATTTTTCTACAACCCTAAATATGTGAAAGGTTTGAACCCGGGAGTCATTTCAAAAAGTTGAGTTTGATCGTCCGGTTGAACGTAGTCCTGAATAGGACTGTTGTTGTTGACAGTGACTGACGTTTCGACAACCTGTGCGGTAGTCATCTTCAGAGTTAAAGTGAGTTGTATCACATCGGTTGATGGTGTGATACTCTGGTTATTGATCTGATTGGTCAATTATGTCGCGATGTTATTGGTCGTCTGTCAGTTAAGCCGTGATGTTATTGGCTATGAAGACTCGTAATCAGTGATTGGTGCGTTTCGATCCGTCTATTGTTAGTCAAATTGTCAGTTCTCCAGTTGTTTTCTCGTATAATACCATCAACTGATGTGATACAACTCACTTTGACTCTGAAGGTGACTACCGCACAGTTTGTCGAAACGTCAGTCACTGTCAACAACAACAGTCCTATTCAGGACTACGTTCACCGGACGATCAAACTCAACCTTTTGAATCCTAAATATCTTTACACACAAGCATTTTTTCCTGGATGCCTAGAATAAACAATGAATAGGCCATTCCACGGTGGCATCATTTTACTATTACTATTACCAGAATCCTTCAGGATTAACTTTCTAATTCGCCACTTGCACATCTCCCATAATGCACCTTATTTGCTCCCCAAAATTTTGCATAACCTTTGTTTTTCATTTCTTCTGGGTATTACAGCAAGAGAAAGTGAAAACAATGCTCATGCAAAATTTTGGGGGGCAAATAAGGTGCATATATGGGAGATGTGCAAGTGGCGACTGAAAATTTGGACTTTTTTATTTAAACCTCACCGGGATCTCCAAATTTAAATGTAAAAAAATGAAATGAATTTTGGTCTTAGGAGTAAAAAGACCCCATCGTGCAAATGGCCTATCAGTAACGCTTGGTAGACCTCTTTGGCTGAAATGAAACCGACTACCCCTTTACTTAACTTTCCTTAAACACGCGAATATTCGTCTAAGATTCGCGGGGAAAAGGGAAACATGCATCCTTGCTTTTTAGAAGTGGTGCTTCACTGTTGATTTTTTTGAGTCATTTTCTTTATAATTATTGCATGCCTCAAATCATGTCAGTCATGCTACTCTGCTTACTTATTCTGTCTTTTACAATTACCCAGTGCCTGGATCCAGACCTTGAGATAAGGGGAGGGCCCGGTCTCCCAAAAAAATTTTTCCGCCCTTCGGGCCTCAGTTTGGTCTAAAAATAAGGGGGAACTAGGGCCCCTCCCCTGGATCCGCCACTGATTACCCACCGGATTGTGTGAAAAAACGAAATAACGAGGAAGGGAGCAGTTTAGTTCACCCGATTTCCCAGCCCGAAAGGCTGGTTTTCAGACTAACATTAGACTCGAGGCGTTCGTTTAGTATTTAATCTGATTCGATACAAATACCTAGCATTGTATAGAGCCTCTTTCCAACGTACTTGATAGAATGATATATACGCTAGCATAGTAGCATTGTAGAGCGTCTTTCTGTTTTATAAAAGGGATGATATATAGGCTTGTGTTAATAAAGTAGACATTTAATTATAAAACGAAAGAGGTAGAAGGACGGCGGGGTCAGGGGGTGCCTTTTGGGCTTTTTCTAAAAAAAAAAAATTACTAAGAGGGAAATCTAAGGCTCCCATTTCCAACCTCTGTTAAGCGCCCCCTCCCCCTTCCCTTTCCCCACCCCAACTTAGAAAAATGCTCTGCCGTCCCCTAGGTAGCGTAGTGAATAACTGTAATTCTCTCCGGTTTATACAAACGCGAGTCTATCGGTGCCATTCTTATCCTCTGGATTTTTTTCCTTTTTTTGTTTTTCATAGCTGAAAAGCAGTTTCATGAATCACGAATACCAGAATTTTAAAGTATGGTAAGACAACATTATAGTAGGGAACATTAAAACAAGAAAAAAACCTAAAATACTGCTAGCTTCATTCTAGCCATCATGATTGGCCACTAACTGGAGGAGGTTAAGAAACTCAGTTTCCTCCAGTTCATTATCATCAGTCATCTTTTCTGCACTTCCAGTGAGAGCAGAGAGTCGTTTCTCAACCAATTTAAGTCTGTCTTCTGTACACTTGATTATACATTTAGAGTTTAAACAGTTAGGCTCCGCCTGTGACTGGCACATGTTGAAATATGTTGCTTCATCGCAATATAGCTTGAATTCTGGTCGCTTCCTGTTGCCCCTTAACATTTCTTCAAATCTTTCCGCAATAAAGTGCGCTATTTCAAGTTCCTCAGCACTTTCCTCTACGTATGTTTTAGCATCGATGTATGACTCGTTAAGAACCGAAACTAACATATTCATAAGGACAATTGTCATTATTGTCATGTATATGAAAACGAATATGGGTCCAAGAATTGGGTGTTCACGTCTTAAATCATCAAGTGGGACAGCTTTTCCCAGAAGGAATTCAAACTGAGAAATCACTGCTTGCAAATAACTAGAGTATTCAAGGACAGTGTGACCAAAAAATTGTTTTCCTGATATAATAAACCCATTAAACAATATCAGGAAAATAAAAACGTAAGACAGCTGATAGCCTACCGACTGACGGAAGGATGAAAACAAGTAGATTACATAAGGATTAAATCGAATCAGATTTAAAAGTTTAAGTGTTACCATAAAAATAGCACAGGCATTAGCAACATTTTCCCAACTAGCCCAAGTCAAGGAGGAGTGAAAATGTACGATATTATATGGATTGTTTTGGATAGATTTGATGCTTTTTAGAAGAGTTTTCGAACGGATCACGTAAAACACTACCGCCAATACTGAGAATATGATCATGAAAAAATCGACCATGTTCCACACTGACTTGAAAAAGCAAAGGCGGCGACGGTGGAAGTTGTAAAACATCATGATGAGGTAATAACACACCATGGCCATGAAAAGGAACTGGCAGATTAAGTAGAACATTTGAGTCCCGGATTCAGTGCTTTGTAGGTCGAGCGTTTTAACCGTTCTTGTTGTGTAAGCAGCACCAGTGGAAAGAACCTCGTAAAAGTACGTTGCAATGCTGAGAAGATTTGTATTAACGTTGAAAACTGCGAACTCTAATATCACTGCTCGCGTCTGGCGATCAACCCATCCATGACCGAATGTTTCGCCAAGGACACTTCGGCCAGTTTCAACATCGTATCCCAAGACAGTGACATAGCCACCTCCTTCATATGTATTGTAGGTCCCCGTTATCCGACCATTGTCTAGTTCTTCACTTGTGCGATAACGCCAAGGCTTGGGACACAGTTGAAGGGCCTTTGGCCATGAAGTATTGTAAGGGAGTTGTTTCCATCCAGGAAGACTCAGTGTTGTGGTGTCCTCACCTTCACTTGTGTAATCGTAGAGGCAGTCTGGGAAAAGCTCAGCTAATGATTTGCAAGAACCTAAAATTAAAATGTATAACAGTTTTTCTATCATTTTTTAGCAAGCAGCATTACATTTGACTTACCTAAGACAACTGAATAGATCGTTTTCACATAACGACACGGCGATCATATTTGTGTACAAAACAACGAAATGGCGGTCATGTTACTTTGGTTGCATTCCTTTTAGCCAAACTTTTTTCGGATTTAGACAATCCAGATTGTTTAGATTTTCCTGCTAGCCGGAACAAAAGTCTGAAATAAGATTGATCCATACAGTAGCTACCTGCTGCTCTGATCTTCTCAATTTCAACACATCGTTTTTTTTCCGCTAAATTAAGCGTCTTCTCGTGGAAAAATGGAAAGAAAAATTGCTCTTTAACTAGTGGTGGTTCATACTGGGACTCGTAGACTTAAAATTATCTGGAATTTGATTGAAGAAAATTCAGAAGACAATTACGAATTCTCAAGTGCTGAGAAGCGCGTTCTAAACACACACACACAGACCTTGGACACTGTGGTTTTACGGTCAGAAAATGCAAGCGTTTTCGCTTCCCTATAGAATTAGAGTTACTGGGGAACTGGAATTTCATATACTACAATCCTTTAGTTGCATAGAACAAAGAAGGAGTGTAAATAACTTTTGTTTGAACTAACCTTGACCCGCCATGTTTATCGATAAACGAGCACGGCCTTGCAATCGAAAAACAATTTCGTTAAGTGGAATAAATATCTGAAACCAGATTGAGATACCAATCTGAACGATCCAAGTGCGGAAGTGGATCGTTCAGATTGCAACATTAGATTGGTTTAGTCCTTAATGGAACGGAAAAAAATTTTGGATCGCAAAATCCGGATTTTGATGGGTCAAAAGGAATGCTACCATTGTCTATCGAAAAAATCCTATATGGGGATTAAACTCTTTTCTTATGTAAAAACTTTTTTGTTCCAAGAAATTTGCATAGCTGCTAACCCACTTGAGTGAAAACGATCTACAGAGTGTTTTCACATGAAGTCAAGGCGACCATATTGGTGTCCCAAACTAATCCTGTGGGAATTGCACTCTTTTCTTATGAAAGCGCTTTCTTTTGTTCTAATAAATTTGCGCGTGAGTGAAGACCATCTATTTCTCGGCCTTTCCGTAATTTTGACTTTATGGAATGTACGTAATACCTAGTTAACGTATCAACCATTTCAAGGATAACCGAATAATAAAAAGTTGTTTGTAAAGGAGCGGCATAAAAATCAGCAGTGAAACTGTTCGTTGTCTTCTCCTTTTAGAAAGGTCCTGGTAATTTTGATGTTTTATCATGATATTGCACATAGTTAATAGAGTGGAATAGTTATGAAGTCCCTCAGACTCCTTTGCCATATTTTTTCTCAGAATTAAAGGTGCACAACGTCTTTAACTGCATCCCTATCACTTTGATAAAAAAAAGTCGCATTAACTTATTCCGATTGGGCATTTTTGTTGTTTGCCGCCTTTTATGACCAGTTTGTTAAACTAACTACTGTAGGGCAGAAGACAGAGAATTTTTTGTCCATTTAATATTAGGTTTGCAAATTCCAAATCATAAAGCTTACTCTTTTTGACTCTGAGTTGCCTCATCCATGGCATACCGACCAGTAAGGACACCTTGTTTTCAACATACACATCTTTCTCTTGACGTCCATTGTACCACGGATGGCTGTAAATATTTGGGAGGAACTCTTGTCTCATCCAACCCCATAGTTTGTACCTTCCAGTTACCTGAAATAATAAGAGTACCGTGGTTTATACAATTAACCATTCAAAGTACGCCTCTATATGACGGACATCTCTATAAAACGAAAACATAATGCTGGTCCAAAAGGTATGGAATTGACGGTAGTCCAATGAAATGCGATGGTTCTGAAACAACTGTGCCGAAAATACGACAGAGGGAACGCCAACGCTTGGTTCACGCGGCGACAAAAGTAAGGAAACCTCCTGTAAACGCGACCACCGGAGAAACATGTAACACCGACGTGAAATTTTGAACCGGAAATAAAACTAACGGACGCAGATGCGCAAACATAAACTAAAAAATTTAATGTATAACTACATTTGAAAAATCACACCAACAACTCCTAAAAAAAAATACCACATCAGTGATAATCCGTGTCTGTCATTCTGAACAAACACGGATAATTTTTCAGCGTTTAAATTGGGACTATCTAATGACAGAAGTCTTTGAATCCAATCTATAAACTCCCAGTTGAAGTTTTAAAGTTTCGAAGACACAACGTTTCGCCTTGTGTTTTAAACTTGATAGAATACTCTTGTCTTTTTGGTCAATCTATAAATTAAATCAGGTTTTATGTCTAAAACCAACGTTGAAAATTTAAAGTTACAACTAAAATTATTCCAGCTTCTCCCTTATATATGACTTCACTAATAAAGCCTTACCGTTTCAAACTTTGCAAAAGGACTCATCAGAGTGGTAGTCATCATAAAGCGATTACTATTCTTGTTTCCATAACACACTATCGCCAAGAAAAACACAAATATCAAATGAACAACAATTTCTTTCATCGTGCTCACCAACTTAAGTTCTTTTATGGCTCGTTCACGCATGACTCCTAATCTTGCGCGCTTAAAACGCTGTTTAGGATCATCAGAAAATAGATCTATGTCATTCAAGTTAACATCTTCTTCATTCTCTGTTTCAGAATCTTCACTGCTGTCCTTGGTTCTCGTTGCAAGCAATGACACCATTACCACGGCCAACATGACCTTTGTCGGCTGTACAATGAAGATGTCCTGACCATTTGAAATCAAAATAGAGGAGAGCCATTGCTCTGCAACCTCTTTGCCCCACATTAAGCTGTAAAATAAAGTGAAGGTTGCTGAAGTAAGAGTTGTAGCAAAACAAAGCAACCATGCTAGGTATACGCAACAGTGAGGCAACATGCAACCATCGTCTTTTACTCTGTCGACGAGTTCTTGGACGTGATCCACTTCCCGATATTTGTCTGCTTTTGTATTCCTCGGCTTGCTTGATTTAAAGAGCAAAACAATGACTACATTTACAGGTGCAACTATCAGTCCACTTTGCACACCAACAACGATTTGTCTCCACGAAACCTTGAAGGGTCCAATGTAAATAGCACCCTCTGATTCCCCACCAATGTTATAGAACATAGCATTGGCAATCATGGCGCTGAAGAGCACTGAAAGGCAGCATGAAGCTCTTTGCACACGAGTAAACGAGCTGCTACAGGACTTGCCAAAGACAGACATCCACAAGTGACTGTCTGCAATTTTTCTTCCGAAACGGCTGCGAACTTGATCTGAGAAAGAACCCAAATTTCCATGCTTTACGGTAGCTTCTGTTAAACCATCACATTTTTCTACCGCAAGCCATCTGTTTATTGGGAAGGTCCATTGTTCTTCTTTCTGTCTGTCTCTGATTGTCACTGTTTCCACAAACCAAGAAGGGCCGCGCCCTGAGTTGTCATGTTCTAAGGTTATTTCTTTCAACGTTCCCAATGATTCATCAGTGATCAAAACAAATCCGTTTATACCTCCTCGTGCAAACAGATCACTTGACTCGTCTTTCCTACGTAGTGGAATGTGATTGTGCTCATCTAAGTCACCTTTAATACTGATTGTCACGTTTGCTGTTGTACCCGAATTTTTCCAAACGCCTGTGCAAATTACCATGTCGTAATAATAGGTCCCTTCTTCCACAATGGGTACACGCTTTGGAGGGCATATCTAACATGTTGAAGCAAAATTTCGTTATAACATGACGCTGATGTAATCAAATTGAATCTTACTGGCGAGACAAAAACTGCTGATCAAACAAAACTACAAATAGTGTAGCGCGAGAAATGAGTAATTTTAATAGACCCATCCTTATATGTAGAGAACCGCCACAGCGTAGCGGATCAAAATATTAAACCTTTTCTCCCACTGAAATAAACGGCGAAACTTGGTTTTAATATTATGTAACCGTGCTCGGTCATGTTCGGTCATGCAACAGTTTAACTTCATCACAAGTCTATACCAAAGGGTCTGCATACATATGCGTCTTTTCAGTCGCGATCTCCAGTTTCTAAATTTGGGTGATCGCCTTTGCAATCTTAAAAAAGTATGGCGGGACGCTGGAGCTATTGGAGGATATGCACTGAGTAATACTCCGCGCTTCGTTGAATGGCCTGGGTACGAAAAATTATCGCTAGATGTGTGTTTTCGAAGGCCACTTTTGGACGGTCGAAAAGGAAGAGAACATGTTCGGTAAGCGACACTATTTAGTCTGAACACGGCCTTGGTGGCCGTGACCAAATGCCTGCCGATGAGCCTAGAGTGTCACTAGATACCCTACAGATAATACATTTATTTTCACAATTACCTTGTTTTCATCTCTTTTATCCGCTTTCCTCGCAAAAACTAGTACAACAAAGTAAAGAAGAAACGCGCAAGCAATGGTCACCAGTACTGAAATGTTACCACTCTCAGAAAGGTTTGCAAACTCTGTGAAAACTTTGTCAAAGTCTATTGGATTTGGTGCTTGAATAAAGTTACCCCCGAAGGAGGTAAGGTGATTACAACGGCAAATGAGATGGGTGGTATTCGACCTGGGATCAACCTACGAAAGAAGACTCAGTTATTAGCAACAACGCAAAGGAGAAGGAAAAAGATTGGGAAGATGAGACACAAAGAATGTATAGGGAAACGAGTTAGCACTGATTGCCTCATTTTTGCTTCAGGCTCCTCAATGCTGTTCAAAAGCAAGCAGTTTGAATGTGCAATGTTATTAATATGCTATATCGCATCATTCAAAGGCGGAGATAAGTTAAAGGAAGAAGCAAGAATATTTCTATTCTTCCTACTTTTGTACGGTGACGTTTTTAAAATTAACAAAATCTGTTAACATCAAGATTAAAAAATTGAGCAGAATGCTGAACCAAACCCTAAGAACAATTGAACATACAATTGAGCGTTGTAGGTTGGCATTTTACAGTTTTATTTAGCTACAATCTTGGACAAAAATTGTTAGGAATTTTGTACTTTCTTTCCCACAGAACGCCTATCCCACGTATTTGGTACCATTATGGCCCCCCACCCCCACCCTGATCATAGTTGTTCATTCGGAATGAGAAATGATCTTATCTTCCCCGCAGCCGTTTTTGTCTCGTCACGCAACGCTCCTCCCCAATAAAAGGCTGATCACATTTGAACCTCGTTCCACTTTGGGTAGGAGCGTATGTGACGAGACAAAAACCAGCCAGATTTCAACACTATTTTTTATGGGGGGAGGGGGAGTATTTGTAGTTGTTAGTGTTTTCAAGAACTTTATCTTGAAACTAGACATGGCAATGTCCATTTTCTTAACATTTTTGTCCAAGATTGTAGCACGCGTTTGTAATACTGAGAAGTAACCGTGTACCCACCCTGCCCTCCTTGGGTTCAATCGGGGTTTCCTAGAGCAATAAGGACTCACAGAGTCCCAAAGATGGTAGGGTGGTCAAGTTAATATTACATCATTTTTTTACGAAGAGGAAATTAACCTTGGAGACCCAGGCCGAGGGAAGGGCGAGTGTTTCAAGTGCATGGGCGCGTCAAGAACTTTGGGTTACCTTGCAACCATCAGATGTCCACTTGCTCCTATCTTCAGACCAATACAAACAGCTTGATTGAGTAATAGTCATTGTATAGTTAACATCCGTCGAAGGGTTGTACTGCGGAGTAACCGTTTTAGTGAAACCCTTTGGCGGTGGATCTTTGAAGCCAACACAGGAACGCCTTTGACGACCGTGGCCGAAACAAGATCTTTTTTCCCTGGTGTGTTCACTGGTATTTGTAGCACCCAAGAAAAAAATTCCGACATAAAGCAGACCTCGTTTTGATGGCACCACTATCATAGATGTTTCCTCTGGAAGACAGGACAAGCTGATGTTTTTGCCATCTGGTTGGTTTTCACACATTGATTTAAACTCTTTGGTAAAATTGTGATCGTGATTGTCAACTGTGGGCCTTAATCCAAATTTAACAAACACTTCCACGACAAAGACACCTATTTCCGTAATACCCATCTTTATGGTCACTGGGACGTCCGCAAGTTCCGCGTAGTAGCTGTGAATGGTCATTTTATTTGGCTTTAAAAAGAAATGTTCAGTTACATCGCTGTTGTTTGTATTGTTTGTCGGTGACTCTGAAATTGGTATCACTATTACGATGTCTTCTTTAAGGTTCGATACATTTATTTTTGTCCCCTTATTACTTTGAAGTTCGAGGCTGGTTACTGGAGACTGAATCGCATTGCTGCTGTTGTCCCAGGTGTAAGGGTTAAACTTCAATGTCAGCATCTGCGTAAAATAAAAAAAAAAAGTGTGATGCCGAGATAGACTATATACGTACAGATAGGCTTAAAACCTGTTAATTTTTTATCTAATAAAAAAACCCAGCTACTTTCCCTTGCCTATAATTGGCAGAAAGAGAAAAAACAAATCGCGCCATCATTCCGTTAATTCTCTTACGGACTATAGCTTTCGGTCAATGAGGACGCGATGTTCAGGTTGACAAGCAGGATTTATTTAACTAATTCATCATAATCATCATTAAAAGGGCTATATTATGGTAAATTCTACAGCTGGGCTGAACTCATCCCTAAGTATGCTCAGTCACCTTTTCCCATACTTGGAACTCTAAAGAAAGCTATCAAATGACTCTATCAAAGTGAAAACAGTTATAGTTTCGGGGCAGTTTACAAGAAAAAAGTTTAATTCTAAAACGTTGGCCAAACTTCTTCAAGTTGCAATCCGTCTCGATCCCAGCAATTTAAATCCAAAGTCCCACACTTATACACATGTAGCTTAGGTTGGTAGCTGAGGTATAGTAGTAGTCTAGTCTTAAATAAAACTGAACCATAATTTCAGGGTTTTCAATAATTCCAATCTGTTTTTAGGGTTTTAAAGTGGTACCAAAAAAAACCTGGAACCATAAATAGGCCGACGTTCTTCAAAGGAACAAAAAGTCCCTTACCTTTGCATTTACGTTATCGGTACCCATTTCTCCCAGGTTTCTTGGCAGCTGAAACTTTGATGGTCCTTCTTCCATACTAAGTCCATTAACATGCTTTGGAGAGACCTTCTTAAGGGATAACGCCAGATTTGCAGTTTTAATGATCATACTTTCGGAAGGAACAAGGCGAACAAAAAACCCATCGTTCATAGCATTTAAATTTTTTGAGGCTCTTAGTACGTTCTCCTGCAGTCACAAAAGAAATAAGTTAAAAATAGAATCCTGGCTACAAAATGTAAGACACAACCTTTAATTGGCTAAAACAGTTTCATACATAACAAATCTTAAAGAGTGGCGCTCCACCGTTAAAAAATGGACATTTAAAAAAAATGTTTTTACGGGTCATGGCTTTAAATAGCTTCAATTAGCATCAATATTTGAAGTAACTTTCAGAATATCCAGAATAGTACATCTTTGTCAGATTTATTTGGCAAATATTGTGAAAGGGCTCCATAGAGAGGCTTTCAAGCAAACAATAATAGAATGCCTGAGCAGAGGACTGGGGTTGGGGGCTCCTCAAGGTGAACACTAACGACTCAGCTTTCGATATGGTAACTTTAGTCGTGAACTTCCTTTGACAGATTCGTAGAAGTCTTGAATTCAACGTTTTTTCAATATAGCTTCAAATTTGACAACGTAACATGGAAATTAAAAAAAAATAGGAAATAATTGAGTGTCCACACTAACGGGAACGTTGTATTTTCTAAAATTCTCAACCTTATCACGTGCCTTAGCTTCTGCTGCTGCTCCGTTCGATCGGCCGGATGCAGATTGTAGTACATTGTTAAGGCAGCTAGTGACACTCGTTGCTGCTTCATCCAACTCAGCACTGAAAGGCTGCTCGAGGTCATTTAGAGCCGACAAAAGTAGGCCGGTTGTTTTCACTGTCATTTCTGTTGCTTTATTCTGCAATAATAAATATTTATTAGTTCAACGAAACACGATTTTGCGACGTTGTTGGTTCAGAAAGACAAAGAAGGAAAACTAAGATTTTAAAAAGGATTGGATTAAACTGATTGGATGCGGGATCTAAGGATACACTTCTGCAACGATAAACTTTTGCTTTATGAAAGTGTTCACTGTTTTCTATTTATGACAAAATATTCTTTGCAAATGCGTCCAGGAATAAATAATATACCTCAAACTAAGGGTATAATGTCTAAGTAACAGTAATTGATTTTCGAGTTTATTAGCCCACAACACAGAATGCAATTTTTTGTACGATTCTGATTGGTTTAAAAAGTACAATCTACTTACATTGCACTACGAAGCATGTATATTAATGCAAGACTAATTTACTTGGGCGAGAATTTCTAATTGTGACCTTTTTGTGTCTCCAACTTCTAGGATCGGCGTTTAAACGTTTCGGAGCAGAAGAGATATCCTCTTCAAAATGGGGTTCAATTTCACATTATTTACAGTTGGGAGGTCGATGGATTTTCGATATGAACATGCGATGGCGGATCAAGGGGGGCTGAGGGACCGCCCCCGCCCCCTTACTTTGGGGACTGGATGAGCGGGTCCCCTACTTACTTAAAGATCTGAATTCGCAACGTCTACGAAACCATTTTCTTATGGAGCGCCGAGCAATAAGAAATACTAATTTTTATATGTCTTATTACTTAAGCAATGTGCTGATTACCATGGTGTCACTGCAGTCATCGCATGTCTGCTCTCCTTGTTCTCCAGTCGCCACTTTGACTACTGCCATAATCGTTCGAGCCATTGGCAGGGTCTCTGGGTTTATTGATGTGAATTTCTCCACTAATGTGGTCGAAATCTGGTAACGTTCAAATGCGTTACATGAAGTTAACAATCAAGGAGATAACGTGTTAATGTCAAACTAAAAAGTGCTTCAATAAATTTTGCAAGCTCGGTGCATATAAACATCATTTTTGACTACCCAACTAACACTCTTGACTCATCAAACAGAGAAATGGCACAATGTTCACCTCCTGCATTGCATTGCATTAGGAGCAAGGGTACAGTCGTGGTTTGTAGTGTAAAAAAAAACGTGTCAAACTGGATAAGCCAACTAAAAATACCACATGACCTTGTCTTCATGTGATTCCGCCGCATTTTTATATTTCCCCAAGGAGAAACTGATAAGGGGTTTCTACTGTAATTTAATGAGTTTTCTTAGCAAAAAAAGGAGTAAAACATCCCTGTCATACTACTTGAACATGAAAGCAAAATCCTACTAAAGCCTTCTATCAGCATCGTTAGAAGGGACTGTGTAGAGTCCACATCGGAGGAAGTGTCTTTCACGATGACTCTTACTGCCCAATTACACTGCTTAAATCATAGCTACTAATAGCCATTCCAAGGGCATATTTTTGTTGTGCTAATGATATATTCTGCTACTAAAATGCCCTGTACGCATTTTATCAATTCTCAGATTTCTCTAGCCTCATCGTGGTGCATGCAATGAGTGCCCAGAGACATCCTTCATCCTTCTTAAAAGGTAAAAACTTCCATTATTTTACTTACCGAAGTTTTTACTTCTATGCTTAAGCCTTCTCCACAATCTGGCGTCTCATTGGCTGTCTTCAAGACGGTTAGTGCAAGCTGTGAGGCCTTGCTGATTTCACCTTTTCTTAAAAGTTCATCCAACTTACAGTCCTTCACCGCGATAAGGCCATTTAGCATATTGGCTACTTCGTCTGCTAGTGTATAGCAGGGGTTAAATTTGGAGGATGGCTTCACCTGTAAAAGAATTAGCAATGCGTTTATTCATATCGCGGCTTAGCGGTTCATGTCCTACACCTTTGCTGGGCAAAACAGTTATTTTCTTGTTACTGTATTTTTGCAATGTATTTTTTAATGTGCGTAGCGGCTATATGCTCTTTCGGCATAGCCAAAAACTGATCCATAACAAGCTTTATAGTGGTTTCCTTCATATTTTGGCCTGTCAAGAAGAGCTACCGCTCACAGGAATGTGCCGAGTTTCGGGAAAAAATAACATGCTTTAAGTTGTCGCATATGTACCGATTCTCTCTGTTTTCGATTACGGGGGGAAATATTAAGAGTTAAAAGCCTAAAAATATAAGTAACAATTCTGTTAGTACCTTAACAAACACTGTCTCTGTAACTGCCACGCCAACAAAGTTTTTAACAATAATCGTTATTTGCACTCTGTGTTGATCTTCTGGTTTTCCACTTGGCAACACCGTTGAAACAGACTTTGGGAATTTTCCATAAGAAATTGGATCGTCTCCAACGCGAAATTCATAGCTTAAAGGCTTACTTTTATCTTCCCAATTCAAACACTCAAAAAGGAACTCTGTCTCAAGTGCCACCCCTTCGCTGACCGATGGCTTGCAATGCCCGCTGTGCGGCGCTCCAGCGGTCTCAAAATGCAATACACCAAACCCTTGTGATCCTGATTGCGAAGTCACAATGAGCTTTAGGGTAAATTTTGTGTTTGAGGGCAATACGTCCTTCTTGAATATCATGTTACTCGCATTTAATGCTGTTGAAGTCATATTGGGGAAAATAGTAACATCTTCTAGTGCATCCGTTGTATCATTTTTCTTTTGTAACAGCCATTGGTAGACTGAATCAACGCAAGGAACATTGGAGCACTCCGACGTCACTCGAAGCTTGTTTGAAGCAGAGACTATGGTCCCACAATCTACAAAACACCTTTAATCAAAACAAATTTGCTATCAAACGTAGCTACGTTTCGTTTTCACCCTGCGAAAACAATCATTTCATAGGTAGCATGAATCTAAGCAATAAGGATAATTTGCATCTCGAAAATATTTTGCCTCTTTTTATTGTTACTACAATATCTGGTTTCAATTAGTCTATTTAATTCTTTATTCATTTCAATAATTTTTTTTTTCAGACAAGCAAAGCCGATTAATTGAATTGGCCATATACCATTAAAAGAAAAATGTGATCTCACAGACTATCTTTAGACAATATTTCGACTGCATAACTTACTGTTGCATTGAAGGCGTTTACAGCGTCCTGATCAATTACATTATCACATTTACCTCAGTTTTACTTGAGGTATCTCGCCGGCTGCTATCTCAAAAGTCATCTCAGCAAAGGCACTCCTCACATCTTTGGACACATTTAAACATAAGACATATGTCTTTCCTATATCAAGTACACTGGTGTCAATACTAACTGCAAGGGCATTTGCTCCATCAACAAAGGAACCGAAACAATCATTGTTCACTGGACCATTTTCAATTGCCTCACGGCAGTACCAAGTAAATTCGACTCCATCATGATTACCAGGGCCAATGTCTCCGTCGTAGCTTAGTGAACCATCCACTGTAACAGTTTTTGCTGATCCCCAACGAACACTGCTCCCACCGTCAATGATGGCTCGTAGAGGTGCAGCAATAACCTCAATAAAACCGAAGTTGAACGCGTGAATAGTCTGTGGAGCACTTGAATCTCCAATTTGAAAAGAAGCAGTAAACTTGACTTGGTAGATTCCCACAGGTATAGATCTCCTATTTATAATCCATTCACTGCTTCCTTCTCTTTTTAAGGTTCCTTGTGCTGACTCTGAAGCTGCTAATTCAGCTTCACTCACCAGACGCCATTGCAACACACTTTGCAACACTGGCGCATTTTCTGGTAAACCTTCAATTATGGCTTGTTGGACACTTTGAACAGATCGCTGGACAACAGTAGCGTTATATTTGTCCTTGGACATATCTACGATGACCACCGTGAAGTCCCCTGTTAATTAAATAATGGAAACAAAAACTGGAATAAACTTGCTATAGAGTGGTTAAATAACCAAGGCAATTTGTTCAATTGTTGACGTTCAAGAGGAAATCCTTTGGTCACAATCTAGTAATGTGGAGCTATTAATTTTCCCTGTTGTTAACAGAAAACAAAATTTGGTCCACGTGGCTGTCCCGTGACAGATTGCAAAAAAAGACAAAATAAAGTAAGAAAATCACTGATCCACAGTCTTTTGGCTTGTTTGCCCCTTTTTTTTTCTCGTACCACATTTTCACGTTATCTGCGATCTCTGACTACAGATACTCATAATAGAACTGAATATATAGGTGGAATCTGACAGCTATGATTCATTTTATAAATCACAAAATACCATTATACTCTACAATTCCTCACCTACAGGTTCGCAGACAAGACCATCCCCAGTGTAGTCGCTGCGACAACTGCAAGTGAATGAGCCGATTGTGTTGTGACAGTTTGCCACTCCATGACAATTGTGACTTACTGCTGAGCATTCATCGATATCTAAAATTAAAAAAAGAGGACTGGACCCTATTCATAGTTCACGAAGTGAGGACGGTTGCTGTCTTTCCAACATTTGGACAAGTGACTCTCAACATTTTGTCGACATCTCCTTTGAATTACATAGTTTTTACAGTGAAAAAAATATCAGGCATCCAAGCACCAGAAAGTCGGCTTAAGAAATTTGATTTTCAAAACCACTATCTAGTGTTTTTAAATTTGATCAATGGTGCCGAGTGTGGTTGCATTTGATTTAACTTTATACATTCAGACGTATCAAACATTCGAAATAACTTCTTATGGACAGATTGTATTGTCATGATCTGCCTGCGCGTTATTCATGATCGAAGTTATAGATCAATATATACCTCTTATTAGCCGAGTTTTCGGTCCAAACTGTAAATTACGGACCGAGCTTGCAGTGTTTTTTTCAAAGACTAACGAAAGAAAGATAGAAGCAAGTCCGAGCCAGACACAATGTCCAGTTTTCAAAACATTAACGAGTGAATAGTTACAGTGCTCTTAGTTTTAACCGAATAAACTTTAAAATATGTCTGACCCTGAGGACTAGGATGTTGACTTTCCCTTTCTAAATTTTCACCTAGCTTTGTTTAAAGAGAACGAAGCTGATGTAGAAACTGAATCGTAACCTCACCGAGGAAGAGAATTCTAGTCGGTGTTTGACAATTTTAACGGAGATCACAATTGAAGACGAGATTGAACTGGCAGAAAGAGAGGTTTTCCCAAAAACAATTAACGAGCGAATCCTTCGACAATGACAACAAACTGTCAAGATGATCGGGTGCAGATACGTTTGTTATCATATTTGTCGAACGAATTACCCATTTTCTCTTAGGCAAAACATCTCGAATCTCTGCCAGTCGATTTTAGTCTTCTTAACTGTTTACTGCGATAAAATTTTCAACACTGACTAGAATCCTCTTCGATAAGACAATGAGTTAGTTTCTTCATCGCCTTCGTTCACAAATAAACAGTTTAAATTGTTGAAGGCCAAAGTTAACATCCAAGTCCTCAAGGTTGACAGGCGTCCTTATAACTTTATTTAAACCTTTTTTCCGAGGTAAAGAGATTTAGAGATCCGAAATGAGCGTTTTCTTTAAAAATTTTGGTCCGTATAGCAAGTTACGGACCACAAATTGACCAATCGCATGGCCAAAACAGACTCAGCCATATAATAAAGGGATTTATGCTTTCACTACTTGTCACGATGTAGCCTGATGATGCAAACGCAGATCCATCGGTCGTTCATATCTACGGTTTAAACAATAATTTCTTGATAGAGTATAATAGTGTATTTTATTGAAATAAGATGTTACCCTTAAATGAAGGAAGCTCTTGTCACTTCGAATAAGTGTATAAAGTGCTCATGCGCCAACAAACGTACCAGAACATTCCACACCGCTTCCTGAATATCCTTGAACACAGCTGCATGTAAAAGAACCAATTGTGTTACTGCACTGAGCGTTTGCGTCACAGTTATGTGTCCCAGATGCGCATTCGTCTATATCTGTATGGGAAAGCATATGTTAATAACTAACAAAATATATGCTAATTATCTTTAACACTTTTCAAAAACAGCCGAGTCAAAAGACTTGGATTTAAAACTAGAATGTATTTGAATCTCCATATTACAAAATGACATCTAAGACATTCCCGATGGGGTGATTAAAAAAGGCTCCTTTTTCAATGATGGTACCTTTTCAGGATAGTTCTCCATATCTTCATCATTGGACCTTTGACCTTGGATGTGTAAAAGCAGCCTTTTTCGTGAGTAAATTGAGTTGTGTTATGTTATGGTGTGGTTCAGTATTGTCTTCCTGGTTGCCGTTTTATTGAAAATTCAGTTTAGTTATAAAATATGTATTAATCAAACATTTTGCAGCTTTGCTGCTGATTCACAAATTCCTTTTTGCTTAAAAAATGCCAAAGAATCATAGCACTTATGAAGTCATACGTCGTTACTATAGAAACCAACTAATGTTGCTAAAATCTTACTGAGGAAGACAAGGAAAGAAAAGAGGCTCTGAAAAAAGTACTGAGGAGAGCTATCCTCTTCGTCTTCCGCGATTACATGTATAAACGCAACCTGAGAGCAGAGGCCATTATTTTCTAAGCGTGTCAAGTGTTACCGACTAAAAATTATGTTTAAGGCTTTCAAGAATCTTAACGGTGTAGACCTCTCGAAGTCTCTCAAAAAAAAACGCTTTCAAGTCATGAAACTTAATCACCTCCCTGCGCGAACTGATGAATGTAAATTTTCCTTTTTTCCATCTGCCATTTTTATATATAATAGCCTTATTCATGATCAGGAGGGAGTTCACACTTCAAACCTTGCAGCCGTTCGTGCTAGGGTCAATGCGTTTGCACAGAAATTGCCTTGGTCTAAATTCAGTTAACTCTAGTAGCAAACATTTTATTTCATAGATGTCATTTCATTGGTGTTATTTCCAGGATGTAAATGTATTTTCTAATTGAGATATAGTGATGTAATGAGGAGTTTGCAATATTTAAATTTAATTTATTGGCCTCGGTAATAATATGCAAAAAGAGTTACCGATAAGTTAAAAAGATACAACTGAAGAACGTAATTTTTTGAATATCAAAGAAAACACTTAATATTCGCTTGGCAACCACCACCCCGCCACACAATTCTCCCCTTCCCGCAACACCAGGGTTAACATGGAATCTTTCGTTTTCTTGATACTAAGATTACAAACTTACCGTCGCACTGTTTTCCATCCCCGGAGTAACCTTGATTACAGATACAAGTGAATGAACCACCTGTATTGCTGCATGTCGCATCTAAGTGACAGTCGTGCGCATTTGTTGTGCATTCATCAATATCTGTTACAACACAAAAAAAAATGGTAAAACTGTGAAAGGTTTGGCGTGTGACCGTCCGAGTGAGCGTAGTCCTGAAAAGGACTGTTTTTGACAGTGCATGACTGACGTTTCTGTGCGTTAGTCGTCTTCAGAGTCAAAGGGAGTTGCATCACGCCAGTTGATTGTCATTGGATGGTTAATTTTGATGGTTGATGGTTATGGCCATGAAATGGAGTTTTGAAAATACCATGAACAGAAATATCTAATCATATTTCGTGTTATTTTAGCCATAGAAACAAATGAAACGGATTTTATGAAGCCTTTAAGGCTGTTAATCATGACATATTATTAATCAAAACCAACAAAACCTATCTTCATAATTATTGTAGTGAAACATAGATTGACACTTCGATGAAACATTGTTTTTTTTTAACGTGGCGGTGTAACTCTAGCTAATCTCAGTTCAGATTCGAAATACCAGGATAAGAAAAGGCAGTTACTATTAACTTTTAGCTACATTTTCAATCTTAAATCCTAGGTGCTGTTTTAACTGAACACTTTTGAAAGGGTGGTTTCTTTTCCTCAGTAGTCTTAGGTGATATTTTTGAGCCGACGCTGTATTAGCTCAGTCGGTAGAACAATTGGCTGCAGAGCGGGACGACGTAGCACCGACTCCTAGGGCGGGACCGATACAAATGGTCTTAAAATAACTGAGAAATTAAGGTATTGCCTTTGCCCTGTAAACGGCTAGACCTCCGCGTGGCTCGGGTGACGTCCCATCTCCAGTAGAAGACGTAATAATAGTTGACTAATTAGTACTATAGTGTGAAAGGTTTGAACCCAGGAGTCATTTCAAAAGTAGGTTGAGTTTGATCGTCCGGGTGAACGTAGTCCTGAATAGGACTGTTGTTGTTGACAGTGACTGACGTTTCGACAACCTGTGTGGTAGTCATCTTCAGAGTCAAAGTGAGTTGTATCACGTCAGTTGATGATATTATACTCTGGTTATTGATTTGATTGGTCAATTACGTCGTAATGTTATTGGTCGTCTGTCAGTTAAGCCGTGATGTTATTGGCTATGAAGACTCGTAATCAGTAATTGGTGCGTTTCGATCCGTCTATTGTCACAGTTAAACAGTCGTCTATTGTTAGTCAAATTGTCATTCTCTCGTAGTTAGTTTTGCTTGATCTCGTCAATAAGTCGTTTGTACGGCGCTGGTAACTGTTGGCTACGATTCAGTGGCGTTTGTTCTAAGTTAGTAAACCAACTTTCTAAAGTAAGACGTTGATAGTAGTCAGTAGAATACGTTATACACGTCGCAGAGTCCCAGTCAATTTGATGTTTCGTCTTTAAATGGTGCTCAGCAATGTGATTGTTGACGTCACCATTCTTCGTAGCTCGTTTGTGTTCGGTCAGTCGCGTGCTTAGGTTTCTGCCGGTTTCACCAATGTAAGAAGCCTGGCAGTCGCAGCATTTGATCTTGTATACTGCTCCCTGTCTGTCCTCCGGTTTGTCTTTGTCCTTGACATTAGTAAGCAGTCGCCGTAAAGTGGTTATCGGTTTGTGTGCAACACGTATATTGTAAGGTTGTAATATACGTGCAATAGTTTCAGAGGTGCCTCTGATGTACGGTATAGTCGCTGTCGTAACAGGGCCAGAGTTGGTCTGAGCGTTGGAATCAGTGTTACCGTGAGTGTTCCGTCTAACAAAGTCCGTGTTATAATTGTTCTTACTAAAAACGTTGTTATGATAATGAGTCTCGTCTTGTAGGCTGTCAGGTGAGTTACAAACTAGTTGCGCTCGTCTCTTCAGAGTTCGGATAGTAGTAGCCTTGTGAGAGGTCTGGTTGTACGAAGACTGGTCTAGTAATCGGTCGGTATGTGTCGGTTTTCTGTATAAAGTCGTTTTTAGTTTGTTGTTGTCGCGAGTGACCAAGCAGTCTAGAAAAGGTATCTTACCATTTTCTTCGTTCTCCTTGGTGACCTGTATGTCCGCGTTCTGTCTGTTAAGGTGTTCGTGAAAATCATCGATTCCGTCTTTGTGTACGGCGGTGAATGTGTCGTCAACGTAACGTAACCAAAGAGGTACAGTTCGCGCGTAGGTAGCTAGGGCTTGTTCCTCGATGTTTTGCATGACAATTTCCGCTACAACAACAGAAACTGTAGAGTCTATAGCTGTACCGTGTAACTGTTTGTAGTGTTTGCCTTTGTACTGAAAGTACGTCAAAGTCAAACAGAGGTTGTATAGAGTACTATAGTGCCAAAAGAATTAACACCCAAATTAAGTGCTTTTTAGTTATTGTTAAGGTTTGCGAGAGACTAGGTCGGCCATGTGTCAAACTGCATCGCAGGACTGTTTGGGGAGGCACTGTCGCTTCCTGCAAACCAATCAGATTGTTGTTATGTGGGAATTTTGTTCCCAAAACAGTCCTATAATGCAATTTGATACAACACCGACTCCATCACACGTACAACCTCTATGAGACCAATAAGATCACATGATCAAAAGGACATGGTTAACCCTTTAACTTACCAGAACAGACTATTCCACTTCCCGAGTATCCCTGGAAACAGGCACATGTGAACGAACCAACGCTGTTGTTACACGCAGCGTTTGAGTCGCAGTTGTGAGTCCCATCCTGGCATTCGTCAACATCTGAGAATACACCATAATTTATTGAGGCACGTTGTATGAGCACAACATGAAATGGGTACAAAAGTTGGGTAAGTAGTCAAGCAGATTGTTTGTTGGGGCAGTTTTACACGACTATTTAGACATCTCATTGCAAAAAGGAAAACATGGTGTGTTGTGGGGTGGAGAGATTTAAAACTGAAAGTATAAACTTTATACAGAAATTGAGAATGTGTATCCTTGGTTACAACTCCAAGTAAATGAACCATCTGTATTGCTACAGACTGCTTATGCGTGACAGTCATGAGCACTGATCGTGCATTCATTGATATCTGTAAAAAATCCAGTGTCGTTTACCATAAAAACACAAACATCGTGCCATGTATGTCACAACACAATAGTTTCATTTGCCTTTCTGAAAAACTCAATTGCTAACAAATATATGCATACATTCAATTACCACACCAGTTGTAAAAAAAGGCCATAAAATAGCCCTAGGTCGAGTCGAGGATCACAAAGGAAAGAAAGAAACATGCAACTGAATGTGGTTAGCTGATTTTCAAATCCTTACTCATTTCTAGGTTGCAGAAAGAATCGTATTTTTCCCTCTTAAAATTCTTATATCTTGAAGATTACGAACGATGCCGATGGTCATATTTCGATCTTGGGCTACCTGTAGTTATCCACTCCTCAAGATGGCGGCTTTTCAGGGATGATTTACAACACAAGCTGGAGGACTTCACAAGAATACTTGTTGTTGCAAGTAGGCGCCTTACAGAAAACAATCCGTAAAGAACTTAGTTTGGAACCAATATCATAGAATTGAACTGAGAAAGACACTTCGTGTGATCACTGTCAAAGATTCGCTGCGTCTCTAGCTAGGGGTAATTAGTGACAGATTCAGATCTTTTGGTAAATGGGAAGACGCGCATCCAGTCAGGGGGGCCGTTCTCGAAAATAATTTTTCAGCCTTGCGGGCCTTATTTTGGCCTACAAGTGAGTTGGGTCCTGGGGCCCCTTTCTCGAAAGTCCCTATAATTAACGGGCCCGGTAAGTTGTTTTCGTTTACATTAAAGATCCAGGTTTCAATACTTTTGCATCTAACATGATAAAACTAATATATACATATATTCAGCCAGGGCTAAAAGCCAAGCTCCCATTAATAAATTTATAATTTAAATCAAACACATTAGGCCAAAATCATGTGACTTTTGAGGGAAAGGGTTAGTGATTTTAGAGAAAAATTATTTGCAAACAGTCAGAAGCAAAGCTTACATCGATTTAATAGCCTTATATGTACACCCAAAAAATAGCAATCATCTTCGCTGAGTCAAGAACCATAATCAACAGCTCTTGATCACAGTAGATTAGGCCTGGAAAACAAATTCTTCCCAAACAAATAACCCAGGGCCCACCTACGCCACCTATATTTTATAAGGTTAATTGTACACACTGTAATGTACAGATTTAGTAAGGGTTAAAAGCGAAGCTCTCGATAATATTTATGGTTTGTTCAAACAAAATATAAAATCGTGTGAAACACAACAATGGGTCTAATTAGCAAAAAAAGCAACTTTACACGTGCAGCACACTTTTTATGTTCATTTCTTTGCCGCTTTTTTGCACGACTACAACGTGAAACTTCCAGAAACTTCCCGGTTACACGATTTGTGGAGGAAATGTCGTACGTGTTTTTCTCTTTTTTTTTTTCGCTATCGTTCTTTTCACCCTGGTTGCCGCTAGCATCGCTCATTTTCTCACCGCCGCTACAAAATTTCATGTTGTTCCTCCAACAAAAAATGTCTCCTTTGTTTTTTCTCTCTAGCTCTAGCTCTACATCTCCGGCGTTGAGTTTGCTGGCCTCTCGCCCTACTTTCTCTTTTTCTCTGTCTTTAATTCTCTTTCTCTATATTCCAGATTTGCGGACATGACAATTAATCTAAGCTTAATACTTTAGACAACACGGTTACGGAAACATTTTCCGCTTTCCGTTCTCGTCTTCATTGACTCTTTAGTCGTGTCTGCTTCACAAGACGTGGGTGGCCATAAGCTTTCCCGCCAAAATAACCATAAATTTGGCATCGACTTACATGCAGTGGGTGTACGGACGGTCGGCGTTCGTACGCTACGTCATAAACGAATTTTCTTGCTCTCATAGGTTACAAATTTATCTTAGCAATGGGGCTCCGCCGCGCGCGCGAACACTCCGCTATTATCGGGTTTGGAATATACTATAGAAAGCAAAAACAGGCTAAATGTTGTTTAAACAAAAGGCAGAACAGTTGATTGAAATGTTTATTTTAGGAGGCAAAGTAAAATTATTCGAAGCAACATTTACAATCCAACAGTCAAAAGCTAGTTAAAATTTGTTAAAAAAGCAAAAGTTAAAATTTGTTTTTAAAAGTCGTTTTTCATTTGTGCGCTTTGTTTACCTAATATGCTTACCGATAAGTAAAAAAGATACGATTGCAGAACGTCATTTTTGAAATAACGAAGAAAAACCTTACTATTCGCTTGGCAATCACCACCCAGCCACACAATTCTCCCTTTCCCGCAACACCCGGGTCAACATAGAATCTTCCGTTTTCTTGATACTAAGATTACAAACATACCGTCGCACTGTTTTCCATCCCCGGAGTAACCTTGCTTACAGATACAAGTGAATGAACCACCTGTATTGCTGCACGTCGCATCCAAGTGACAGTCGTGCGCATTTGTTGTGCATTCATCAATATCTGTTACAACACAATAAAAATGGTAAAACTGTGAAAGGTTTGGCGTGTGACCGTCCGAGTGAGCGTAGTCCATGAAAGAACTGTTTTTGAGAGTGCATGACTGACGTTTCTGTGCGTTAGTCGTCTTCAGAGTCAAAGGGAGTTGTATCACGCCAGTTGATGGTCATTGGATGGTTGATTTTGATGGTTGTGGTTATGGCCATGAAATGGAGTTTTGAAAATACCATGAACAGAAATATCTAATCATATTTCGTGTTATTTTAGCCATAGAAGCAAATGAAACAGATTTTATGAAGCCTTTAAGGCTCATAATCATGACATATTAATAATCAAAACCAACAAAACCTATCTTCATAATTATTATAGTGAAACATAGATTGACACCTCGATGAAACAATGTCTTTTTTCAAACGTGGCGGTGCAACTAATCTAGTTAATCTCAGTTCAGATTCGAAACACCAAGATAACACAAGGCAGTTACTATTAACTTTTAGCTACATTTTCAATCTTAAATCCTAGGTAGTGTCTTAACTGAACACTTTTGAAAGGGTGGTTTCTTTTCTTCAGTAGTCTTAGGTGAATATTCAATTGATATTTTTGAACCGACGCTGTATTAGCTCAGTCGGTAGAACAATTGGCTGCAAAGCGGGAGGACTAGCATCGATTCCCAGGGCGGAACCAATACTTATGGTCTTAAAATAACTGAGAAATGAAGGTATTGCCTTTGCCCTGTAAACGGCTAGACCTTCGCTTGGCTCGCATGACGTCCCGTCTCCAGTACAAGACGTAATAATAGTTTACTAATTAGTACTTTAGTGCCAAAAAAATTAACACCCAAATTAAGTGCTTTTTAGTTTTTGTTAAGGTTGTGCGAAAGACTGGGTCGGCCATGCGTCGAATTGCATCGCGGGACTGTTTGGGGAGGCACTGTCGCTTCCTGCAAACCAATCAGATTGTTGTTATGTGGGAATTTTGTTCCCAAAACAGTCCTATAATGCAATTTGATACAACACCGACTCCATCACACGTACAACCTCTATGAGGCCAATATGATCACATGATCACTAGGACATTGTTAACCCTTTAACTTACCAGAACAGACTGTCCCACTTCCTGAGTATCCTTGGAAACAGGCACATGTGAACGAACCAACGCTGTTGTTACACAGAGCGTTTGAGTCGCAGTTGTGAGTCCCATCCTGGCATTCGTCAACATCTGAGAATATACCATAATTTATTGAGACAAGTTGTATGAGCACAACATGAAATGGGTACAAAAATTGGGTAAGTGCTCAAGCAGATTGTTTTCTGGGGCAGTTTTACACGACTGTTTAGGCATCTCATTGCAAAAAGGAAAACATGGTGTGTTTTGGGGTGGAGAGTTTAAAACTGAACGTACAAACTTTACACAGAAATTGAGAGTGTGTATCCTTGGTTTCAAGTGCAAGTGAATGAACCATCTGTATTGCTACAGACTGCTTCTGCGTGACAGTTATGAGCACTGCTTGTGCATTCATTGATATCTGTAAAAAAATCCAGTGTCGTTTACCATAAAAACACAAACACCGTGCCATGTATGTCTCAACATAATAGTTTCATTTGCCTTTCTGAAAACCTCAGTTGCTAACAAATATATACATACATTCTTTTCGCTGCACTCATTTACCACACCGGTTGTAAAAAAGCCCATAAAATAGCCCTAGGTCGAGTCGAGGATCACAAAGGAAAGAAAGAAACCCGCAACTAAAATGTGGTTAGCTGATTTTTAAATCCTTACTCATTTCTAGGTTACAGAAAGAATCGTATTTTTCGCTCTTAAAATCTTTATATCTTGAAGATTACGAACGATCGATGCCGATGGTCATATTTCGATCTTGGGCTACCTGTGGTTATCCACTCCTCAAGATGGCGGCTTTTTAGGGATGATTTACAACACAAGGTGGAGGACTTCACCAGAATACTTGTTGTTGCAAGTAGACGCCTTACAGAAAACAATCGGTAAAGAAATTAGTTTGGAACCAATATCATTGAATTGAACTGAGAAAGACACTTCGTGTGATCACTGTCGAAGATTCGCTACGTCCCTAGCTAGTGGTAATTAGTGGCAGATTCAGATCTTTGAGTAAATGGGAAGACGTGCATCCAATCACGGGGGCCGTCCTCGAAAATATTTTCTCTTTCTCTATATTCCAAATTTGCGGACATGACAATAAATCTAAGCTTAATATTTTAGACAACACGGATACGGAAACATTTTCCGCTTTCCGTTTTCGTCTTTATTGACTCTTTAATTGTCTCTGCTTAACAAGACGTGGGTGGTCATACGCTTTCCCGCCAAAATAACCTTAAATTTGGCATCGGCTTGCATGTAGTGGGTGTACTGACGGTAGGCGTTCGTACGCTTCGTCATAAACAAATTTTCTTGCTCTCATTGGTTACCAATTTATCTTAGCAATGGGGCTCCGCCGATGGCGTCAACGCTCCGCTATTGTCGGGTTTGGAATGTACTATAGGAAACAAAAAAACAGGCTACATGTTGTTTAAACGAAGGACAGAACAGCTGATTGAAATGTTTATTTTAGGAGGCACAACTCAAATTCTTCGAAGCAACATTTACAATCCAACAGTCAATAGCTAGTTAACAGTATAAAAGTTATAAAATTTGTTTTTAAAAGTTGTTTTTCATTTGTGAGCATTGCTTATATCAACTTTGTGTAGTTGCACACGATAATCACGCAATCTTGATTCCAAAACTGCACATTTGCTTTATTTACCCGTTTTTTCGACGATCAAAACAGTACTTTTTTGAAAAAAATTGCTGTCTCAATTTATTCTATTCTTATTATGCCTCATCTTGAAATAAGCGGAGAGGATGTTTGAATATTGTTTTCTCAGTTTTCTTCCCCAGATTGGGGGAGTTTTGACACAATATAGGCGAAAAAACAATTAACAATTAAAGTTCTAGCAAAAAGCACAAGTAAAAATTCTAAACCTTTCGAAAACTGAAAACAATCACTCACTAAAGTACTGCAGAGAAAGCTAAAAATAAGCTATTCAGACTCGAATGTCTGAAGTTTTGAATTACAGCTTGCGGGTTATTTTTAGCTTTTTTTGCAAAGGTAAAGGGGAAGAAATAAAACACCCAAAAATACCCATAGCATCTGAAACACTATTACGAAGAAAACAAACCCGAGAAAGAAACAGAGAATTAAAAAACAGACTTTAGAAACCGAACGTAAACGAAGAAGTTAGGGTAATAATCAAAACTAAACTTTGATTGCAATACTTACTAAATGCACGAAACCGTCCATGTACAACAACAAACTAATAAATACTTTGCTTTTGTGCGGCTTTACGCATCCGTAAGTATTAAACTGTTGTTCCTGCACTCTCGGCTTGTAGGGGCGCAGCGGGCGGGGGTGGGGGGGAGGGTTTGGGGGTTGGAGGAAATGACGGGCCGTGGACCTGAGCCCACGTTAGAGTCTATAAAAGTCTGCAAATGTCCCATTTTGACGGCTGTCAATTGAGGTCGATTTGGCTTGAGCTTCAAATACTGGCAGCCCTGCCCAGTGAAAGCATAGCTTAATTTTTGTGTTGGTAAGTGTGACACAATACATAGGCTTAGATATAGGGGCAAAAGGACCGGTCTTTCATCTAAGCCCTCGAGATGGTCAGCGGATACCTGATTTGGAAAGCTGTTAATTCACCTTTATAGGGATGGTCTATATAACTGGCAGGCTAGTGTGAATATTTGTGCAAGATCTAATGTGACACTTGACATAGGCTTACATTTAGTGGGTGTACGGACGGTCGGCGTTCGTACGCTACGTTATAACCAAATTTTCTCGGATGGATAGTTTACCAAATTCTCTTACCCATGGTGCTCCGCTGCTCGCGCTTTGCCCGCGAGAGGGCTACGCTAAAATGAAAAGAGCTAATTTGGCCCCAACAATGGGGCCAAAACGGATGAGCCCAGAATGGTACTGTTTTGGGGGCCAATTCAGCTCCACTGAGATGGGGCTGTTTCAATACCAAAATTGGGGGCCAAATTAGACCATGTAAAGGGTCAATACGGAAAACACTAGTAATTTCTCACGCGTTTGCCTACTCGTCAAGATGGCCTCGAAAAAACTGTGAGAAAACCGTGAGAAGCTCTATTTAAGAAGTGTTAACACTTCTTCTTTAGCCGAAATGGCTTTAAGGTTTTTTCATTGGGATTCTTTGTCTTCTTATTCCGGAATACGGTTAATCGAACGAACCCTAAAGTGGTTAAAATAAGCTCATATTTTTGCATTTGGTAGAAAGAAAGCGAACCAGGGCGGCTTACCTAGTCTTAAAAAAATCTTGATTCTTGGAAAACCGTTGCGCTTCACGAGATTTCTGCTGTCTCCGATTCTTCAAGGCGAACTTCAAGAGCGAAGTGATGGATCACCGATGGCTCATAGTTCGATAATAACTACACTGCAGTAACAACACTTTGAATGTCCTTTGATTGTATCGAGAGGTATATAAATAGAAGACATAGAAGACTCCTAACTCCCAAAGAAACTTGCTTGTTCGACATGTTCGCAACCGTACTTAGTCTAGTTCTGGCCACTCTCTCTCTCTGTCACGCAAGGTCGGGAGAGAGGGTCCAGGGACAATTGTTTGCGCATGCCCTAAATAAACCAATCACAGGAGACATGTTACGCGCCATGACCGGCGCGAAGTTTTAGAAGCGGTGAAGCAGACCGTGATCAAGGTGATGCGATGGCAAAATCAACTCCAACGAAAGCTGGCAACGCAAACAAAGACTGGTGTAAAATGAGAATGTTCCTTTGCTCCTTTCTCGTGACACCGCGAAAATTATCGGTAATAAGAGGACTCAACGCGTAACACAGAAATTTACCATAGCCAGTGGGCAAATTTACAACCACGTCTCTTCCCTTAAGACAATCGTTGACAGCGTGAATTTGTTCCTTTTTAACCCTGGAAGCCCTAAGAGTGATCAGCATCAAATTTCTCCCTGTAGTCAATGCTTTGTAAAACAGAGTGGTCATGAGAATTACGGACATGATCACAAATGATGAATTTGCTTGATATTTTATCAACTTCTCCCCACCACTTCTGTAGGAAATGAATAGGGGCAACAAATGAGAATTCAAATTTTGATCGTCGGGTTTAAAGGGTTAAGAAGAACTTCAGGCCACAAAATGAAACAGCCGAACTTAATGCATTGGTAAACCCATATCATATTCAGGAAACATTTCTCTGTACTTTTCACTCACTAACGAGTGAAAATCAACCGCCATGTTGAAGCACTGTGTTTTTCTAGATACACTCATGCGCAGTGGCAATTAGCTAGAAAAGTAGCTAAAACTACTGCGCATGCTGACATGCGCAAACAATTGTCCCCGGACCCTCTCTCCCGGCGTTGCGTGACAGAGAGAGAGGGGCCAGAACTGGACTAAACCGTACTTTGAAATGGATGCGAAAAGGACGACACCAAAGAGCATGTGCAGAGGGAAAGCCCGCTGACCAGTTGTGTGTTTCACTGCATCTTTCATAGATGAAATATATCATTTCCAGGCCGTCTTCCAGGCACCTTTTTCATTCTTAAAATACGTTTTCGGTCTTGTACATGTCATGTCATTTTAAAAACCTTTTACTAATAACTCAGAAAATTTATGTACATGGCTGGGTCTTTGTTTGCTATCAATATTAACGCCCTCCCAGCCGTTTAGTTCCGTGACGCATCACGTAATGTTGTCGATGTTGGAAATCTACTCATGTGCAGAACATGCGGCAGCGTGATTGTAGTTTTGTTTCCGATTTGTAGCGTCGCTCAAGGCAAAGTTTTGCTCGAAACCATGGGTTACATTATAGTCTTTGACTGTCGTCACCGTTTTAGGTCTACAAGTAAAGTTATCAGTTGTAGAAGGCCTAAATGTAATAAACATCCCTAACTGCAATAAAGTCCTAAATGTAATAACATTTTGCCTTAAATGTAATAAACACACTAGGCCTTAAATGTATTGACGTCATGCTAACGTCATCAATGACATGAGTAACACTTGATTAACCCTATGCAGAGCGGGGGGGTCTCTTGGACCCCCTTTCGCTAAAAAGTTGAATAACTTAAAACCGTTTAAACTAAGAAGATTTTAAAGTCGTCGAGAAGTATACAAATGTACGTCAACATCGACGTTGCCATAGCAACCGAGTTTTGAACAGCTATGTTTTTCAAAATTTGTGTTTGTTTTTTTTTTTCTTTGAAAAAAATATATATCTATTTAACATACTTAATAAATTATAGTATTACAAATAATTTAGTAATATTTAATCAAATTTATTGTAACTGTTAATTCCATGCAGGCTTTTTAATGGGCCATTTGTGAAAAAAAACGGATTTATAGTGAACAAATGGAAGATGTTTTGTCCCATGTAAGGGAATCCGGATTCCGGAATCCAAGAAAGTTTTACTTGCGAAAACTGGAATCCAACAAGTTTTTGCTTTGGAATCCAGAATCGTGTGGTT